GGAGCAAAGGTAAGTGAATTGACACAGGGGGGACTTGGCTTACTACTTGGGGGGGAATAGTACTATGGGGGATGAAATACTATATGGGGGATGAATTACTATATGGGGGATGTATTTTCAGTTTTAAAAATGTGGCTCTCAAAATAAAAAGTATGCATTTGGAGTGCTGTCGATCTTCGGCTCCACATATGTATGTGAGCAGGTCTTCTCCAACATGAACTATATTAAAAACAAACATCGATCACGCCTCACAGATGACAGCTTGCAAGCTTGTGTGAAAATGAAGGTGACGTCTTACAGCCCTGATGTGCAGACACTGTGCACTGAGGTTCAGGAGAAAAAATCCCATTAACCAGATAAATTAAATATTTTAATTAGCTATTAATGTGCAAAAATATATTTTACATTGTTAAGTGAAAAAGTTCTTTTTTTCTTCAGATTGACAGCTAACTGCACGATCCTGTATATAGCATTAAGGTAAGAAACAAAATATGCAGTGTCGGATTTGTTTTAAATGTTGCAATGGTTTTGCGGCTCCCAGTCTTTTTTTTTCCCTTCGGAAACGGGTCCAAGTGGCTCTTTATGTCTTAAAGGTTGCAGACCCCTGGCCTAGGCTATAAGAAGATTGTCAAGACCCAAACTGAGCTGCAGCACGGTGGCCAAGACCATACAGCGGTTTAACAACACAGGTTCTACTCAGAACAGGCCTTGCCATGGTCGACCAAAGAAGCTGAGTGCACGCGTTCAGTGCCATGTCCAGAGATTGCCTTTGGGAAATAGATATATGAGTTCTGCCAGCATTGCTGCAGAGGTTTAAAAGGTGGGGGGGGGGGGGGGGGGTCAGCCTGTGCTCAGACCATACGCTGCACACAAATTGCTCTGCATGGCTGTCATCCCAGAAGGAAGCCTCTAAAGATGATGCATAAGAAAGCCCACAAAAAGTTTGCTGAAGACAAGCAGACTAAGGACATGGATTACTGGAACCATGTCCTGTGGTCTGATGAGACCAAGATAAACTTATTTGGTTCAGATGATGTCAAGCGTGTGTGGTGGCAACCAGGTGAGGAGTACAAAGACAAATGTGTCTTGCCTACAGTCAAGCATAGTGGTTGGAGTGTCATGGTATGGGACTGCATGAGTGCTGCCGGCACTGGGGAGCTACAGTTCATTGAGGGAACCATGAATGTCAACATGTACTGTGACATACTGAAGCAGAGCATGATACTCTCCCTTCGGAGACTGGGCCGCAGGGCAGTATTCCAACATGATAACGACCCCAAGTACACCTCCAAGATGACCACTGCCTTACTAAAGAAGCTAAGGGTAAAGGTGATGGACTGGCCAAGCATGTCTCCAGACCTAAACTCTATTGAGCATCTGTGGGGCATCCTCAAACGGAAGGTGGAGGAGCGTAAGGTCTCCAACATCCTCCAGCTCCGTGATGTTGCTATGGAGGCGTGAAAGAGGACTCCAGTGGCAACCTGTGAAGCTCTGGTGAACTCCATGCCCAAGAGGGTTAAGGCAGTACTGGAAAATAATGGTGGCCACACAAAATATTGACACTTCAGGCCCAATTTGGACATTTTCACTTAGGGGTGTACTCACTTTTGTTGCCAGCGGTTTAGACATTAATGGCCGTGTTGTGTTATTCTGAGGGGACAGCAAATTTACACTGTTTACACAAGCTGTACAATCCACTACTTTACAATGTAGTAAAGTGTAATTTCTTCAGTGTTGTCACATGAAAAGACAGAATAAAATATTTACAAAAAATGTGAGATACTGTATGTGAATATATATCTATGTTTTTCTTCACACTGAGGTGCTGAGCTTGCGGCGCGTGTGTTAAAACTGCTTGCAGCAACTTTGGGGCATGTTTGGAGGGTTAAAAAAAAAAAAAAAAAAAAAAAAAAAAGCATTTCTTGTGCAGTTTTAAGTCACGTCCTTTAAAAAAAACACGGTAAAAACATTATGCATTTTTGCAGCGGATCAGTGTGAACGTAGCCTAAAGCATACTTTATTTAAGGCCTTTGACTTGTAAAGGATTTCCAGAGAAATCAGGAAAGCGCACAATTGTAATTTTTGTATTTCAGCTGCAGCATGTTCTGGGCTTTTTGTAGGATAAGGTCATGAATTTTATACTTGATACATGATCGGGTACCAAACCAAAAAAGGACTTGGTGGTTTTCTGGGGATTTTTCTGCACGATATGCCTTCACAAACACATGTGGAAGACTGCTGGTCAATAACGCAAGTTCTCCACAAAAAATTAGTGGTTCAGCCCCTCTGAACCCCCAGAACACATGACAGATATTGTTTTGATGAAGCCTGTTATGCCCATCATTGGCTCGATCTCAGAACAATTTCACTGCTGGAATGGCAGTGTCAGGAGTGGAAATGTAGTCCACCATGGATATCCTGCCTCAAGTCTCGATCAGTCCCCCTAAATTCTATCAATATCCTGGCGACTGAGGGTTCAATTGAGCACCAAGGAGTCTATTTTGGTCATGATGCTAGATTTACAGGTTGCAATAGCTTTAAGACTAATCCATGTTTTGGGTTACACAACTGAAACATCCACAGACACTGGTGAAATAGATATTGGGTTTCAAGAGGATTCTGTTGTAATCAGTCTGCATGGCATGAAAGGGTAAGTGGAGCGCTACAGGCAAGGTGGTGTCTGAGCAAGTGGACAGACTACAGGACCCGCTTTTTGGTCTCAGCAAGCAATTCCTGCTTTTTTCTGCATGCCATATTTTGTGGCCTGACAGATCTACAGTATATGATTTTTAGATCAACCCTCACTAATTATCCAGGTGACCACTGTCACCAGGATAGAGAGTGAGGGGTAATTTTCCTAAGGTTAAAGTTATTCCATTAGTAAACTTGAAATGTGGAAATTCCACTCACTTCGAAACATTTTTCTTTACTTTCTGTCTCAGACATGATGTGAAGTAAAAATTTGAGATGATTTACAGACAGTAATAAAAGCTTAACGTTAATCTTTATTATTTAATGTAGGTCTTTTACATATGAAAGACGACGCCATGTTTTCTGCATGGATTGTATTGCACGGTTAAAGCAGAACTAAATTTTGTAATACTTACCTCTGCTTCAATGGTGACGCCAGCAAAGTCCCTCACTGGCATCTTTTCTTCTGGGTGCTAGTCCTTGCCATCTTGACTGGTTGGCGCAGGATAATGTCACTCCTGCAAATAAGTTCAGTCATCCTAGCACAGAGGTATTGTGTCGGGATGTAAACTGAGCTGCATATGTACAGTTCAGTGTACAATCTATAGAAGACTGAGAGAAGGCAGGTAGGATTTTAATGCCTGCAATTAAGAGTCTGCCTGCACATGGTATATTTTAGACTTTAGTTCCGCTTTAAGAATAGAAAGGTTATGTGATTTACCTTTTTAGCAGAACAAGGAAACTGGAAACAGTTAATTCAGGCTTATTATTTTCACCTAAACTCAAAAATTATATCCAAAATCTGTCAGATGGTAATAACATCCTATGGCCCAACTTTTTTTTTTTTTTTTTTTTTTTAATATATAAATGAGCTCCCTTGGTTCTTTAATATACTAAATATAATAGCCAATGTTGTAAAGACCCATTTTTATCTGTATATTTGCCAGCAGCATACCACAGGTTTTGAAAAACAGAAAAGCATGGGGAAGGAATTGAGTGTAGGCTGTTCAGTTTGTGCATTGCAGCACAGTGGAGGGAAAAAAAGTATGTTCCTGCACCATATAATCTGCATTAGCACTCATTAAGGAAGGTTGCACATGGTTAGCACATAACCTTGCACTACTGTGCTTTAACTGCATGTTATATTCTTTTTAATGTCAATATAGAATTTCCCAGAAGAATATACCATATTACCATGCTTTCTATGGGAGAATTATGTGTCCGCACACAAACGTGATTAAAAAAAAAAAAAAAGTTAAAAAAAAAATGTGCTATATACCTTGGACTGCAGCCCAAATCCATTTGTTAATTAGCCGTTTGTACTTTTACAGGCTCCTAAATATGCTATTTGAGTAATAGGAAATGTGCAATTTCCTTGTAGCATAAGTTTTGATGCACAGAGTTTTGTGCCTATAAAATAGAAATTAAAAAAAAAAAAAAAAAAAAAAAAAAAAAAAAAGAATGGTCATCCCCATCTGCATTGCTGAACTGAAATAGACCAGTTCCACCATTTCAATGCATGGAGAAATAGAAAAATGCAAATCCACGGTCATGCACATAATGACAGGAGGACAAAGGTCTACTTACTCTTTTGGTTAAAAAAAAAAAAAAAAATCTATATAATACTTCATGAACAGTAGTTTGTTAATCGGATCCAATCAATTTAACCCTTTACTGATCCAGTGGATTTACTACTTTACAAGTCACTGATAAGCAGCAAGCACACAGATCAAGAGTTTACATGCTATATGATTATGCAGGGTCTTCAACTCAGAATGTACTGAATTGGATTAGCAAACAATCTGCAGTGAAATGCAGTCATTGTTTGTTAATGCTTCTATTGCAAAGAAAAGAAAGGTCGTTGGCCATAAAATAGCCTTAGGTAGCTTTTTTCCCCCTCAACAGTCATAAAGCAAAAGTTGCAAAATGCATTGTCTGCAATGCACACTGTTACTAAAGGGGCAACATATGAATCTGAATATGGCCTTGCCATCAACACAAAAAAAAAGTTTTTAGGTAAACTTTACAGTACACACAAGGATCCTTTGCCACAGCTAGACAGACCCAGCCACAGATCTTACTACAATGCAATAGACAGAAACTTTACATAATAAAGTGTCCTCAGCTGTATTTTTCCAACACCTGTGGGTGTTTATCAATAAAGAAGTACAGCAAACATTATGCATCACATAAATGCCTTGACATCTTTCCCACCTATGAGTAAGCACTAAAAGTGTGAAACATTTCAAGGCATTTGTGTTTGTAAATATATTGACAATTCACGTGAGAAAAAGATAAATGTACTTCACCTTTGCAACTTTCCTCCAGTTAAGACAGTCAAAGAAGTAATATGTTCCCCTCTCGTATGTGTTTGTTTTCATTGTTGGTTCCATTCCGGGTGCCCTCGTTATCCATACCCGCTCTTCTTTGTGGTATCTCCAGTCTCTGTTAAAACTAAAAATCAGAAACAATTTCAGTGTTTTGCATCTTACTTTGTACCAATACCACCAGCATATAAAAAAAACTTAATTTTTTACAGGTGGACACTGAAAGCTTGGGCAGTCCAATAAGCAAAAAGATTTACTGCACAATCATATTGTCTGCACAACAAAAAAAAACCCCCACACACACAATCCTTGATTGATAGAAAAGCTGATAAGGGTCTGCATTATACACACTTGCAAAATGCAAAGGCTGTGCCATCTAAGAGATTGTTCACACTTGACATGTGGTAACCTGCCATGTGATATTACTGGGTAAGGGAAAAAAAAAGCCACATAATAGATTTAATCCCCTGAGCTAACCCACTGATGTGCTTTGATAAGAGCTTTTTTGAGTGCTTATTCATTGTGAGGGCTAATAGAAGAAAGGAGTGACACGTATCAATTAAATTGTTACCGCATACCATCAAAAAAAAAAAAAAAAAAAAAAAAAAAGCACTTCGACCCCCAACAATCTAAAAATTAATTTTTTGCACCATTTGCTTTTTTGTATGCACTCTTCACCCTGCTTCCATTCTCATATAGGCGAGATTCTTGTGTACTTTGCTACTGAAAGCTCTTATCCAGTGGAGTGAATTTCTTCTTTAAGTATGTGTCAAAGGATTATCTATGTTCTTGGAGAGGATTTAAATAAATACACAGGGTAACTAATCTGGCATGCGGTTTTTTTTCCTTTACCCTGTATTTGACACGTATGGCCAGGGCAAGCTTAGATGGGAGAAAACCAGCAAACAAAAATGCTCCTGCGCTTGGGGATGGACTCGATGCAGGCTACAACCACATTAAGAATGTCCTGGAACATGCATACTTTGCTGCCCTCAAATGGACCGGGGGAATCCAAATATACTGAATAAGGAAAGAACAAAGAGAGGGCGCATGGGCCTAGTGCATTACCATAAAAAATGTTTAATAAGCAATAAAAAAGGTGTTGTACTCACAAACGAGAAAGTCAGGGCTCTGAGGAAGAGGCAAGTCCTCGAAACGCGTCAGCCTATTAGATGTCTACACTCCCCATTGCGGACTGTTACTCAGCGCGGTGTTGACCCAGCTGTTCTTTTATGATGTGCCTTGACTATATTGTCGTTTGTGAGTACAACACCTATTTTATTTCTTATTAAACATTTTTTATGGTAATGCACTAGGCCTGTGTGCCCTCTTTGTTCTTTCCTCATTTAGATGGGAGCAAACACCTGTGGCTGATGGATGAATTTTGTAAGCAGAGCAGTGGATCATTTTATATATTTTGAGCCCTGGTTTGCATTATCCTGCACACTGCGGGCTGGTTGCGGATGCAGAAATCACACCTGTTCCTGTACCTGCATCATGTTTCTCTTGTGAGATGCACGGGGGTGTCATTCATTCACAGCTTGATTGCAGGTATGGAAACTGCATGGTCAAAAAGACCATGTGGTTCCCCTGGGGATGCATTTTGGAAAAGTAGGCACAGCAGCCCATTGTGTCGTGCCCACACAAACACAGACCTGGCCCGTACAAGTGTGAACTGAGCCATATACTGCTTGAAATATGCCCGTGATAACACACATTGCCAGGCAATGTCACGTAAAATGGATGAAACCGTTAGAGTGCCCCGAATTAAATCTTTAAAATGTAATGTATAGGGCAGAGTAGAGCACAACCTCCAGAGGCCGTGTTCAGCGACTGCCAGGATAGTTAGTGGTGGTGTCTACTTAGAAGAATACAGGATTGTTACCTTTGGCGTTTAATCGATCACCAGTGCCATGTTTACTCTGTGTCTATATATTCTGTGCATAATTTAATATGCACAAGTGAACGTGAGGTTTTTAGAGTTGGTTGTGATAAAGACTGGTGTGCGCATTTATTAACTAAAACCACTGTGAAGGTCTATGTCCTATACCGGAGCCCTACTGCTGAATAGCATAAGGAGCACTCCATTGAGCCAGTTATATTGACCAGCTCATGGAAGTGCCTGGAAAGGTGTATTTTGATCCAAAAGGCATGCTGAGAAAGGATTTGGAAGAAGCTTCATTGGTTTCAATGAATTAAAAGAACAAAAACCTGAGGCTTTGTGGGAGTGGAGTGGACGAATGACCATCTGTTTCTCAGTGTATCCATATGGGACTTTCCAGCACTGACCAGCATCTGGCATTTTTAGAACTTCATGTTCAGGGTTTCCTCTTTGAAGACGTGTATGGAACTTTCCTACACTTATATTTTACAGTATATCTAGCACCTTCAATATAGGGATGTTTATTCATATACTGGGAAAATTTATGAATCTGCAGCAGTGGAGATGTGGTCTCACTTGCCACTTTTCCTATTTTTTATAGAAAGCTAATTGTGTATATTTACATTTTGCATGATTATTCTGTTTATGCATATTATGTACATAGACACAATAAATGGTTGGCAAATGTACAGAAACACAAGCATCATCCTTTACGTTTCCAGCATTTCCATGCCAAAGACAGACATTCTTCAGTTATAAAACTCCCACCTGCAATTAGCACAGAACATTTTCCTAAAAGGGCATTAAACAAGAATCTATACATGTTAAAAGCATGTGCTAACTGGCATAAGCACACATGCAAAACACATACAGTACAAGCATCATATATGCATGTAACCACATACTCACGAGGACAAAGGAATCAAATAACATTCCAATCTTAGTATGCTCACAGCATGGTACACATAAAGCTGTGGGTAGCTCCCATTTGCCAAGACAGGTAAATGTCCGTTTGTACAAGTAAAGGAGTACTGTACAGGTCTCATGCACACAGAGCGCAACTGAAGGCTGGTCATTTCGCATATGCACTGGCAACACCATGAATAACATATTCAAAGCTGACATGTAAACTTTAATAGTGTGTAACCTGTAGTGGCAGTACTGCTGGCTACACATTGATATTTAACATGTCAACTCTGAGCAGCTTCAGCGACCAACAGAGTCCATATACACTGGATGCAAGTTGTGTAGTGTCAAATATTTTCTTTATGCCAGAAACTCTCACGCAGACTCTTCTAGCTTTGGTTTATGTGGGTATATGCTGCAAATCAAAACAAAAATGTGTGCATGGTCCCATGGGATACAATAGTCCTGCATTCAGATCTGTATAAATTACAGATCTGAGTGCAGATAATTGTACTATTGTCGGTCTCTATAAAACAGAGCGAATACTGCTTAATGATTATACATACAGCTCTACTGCGGCTAAAAGCTGTAAAACATCCCCTCCATTCATGTAATAGAGATAGAAAAGAAGATCTTCTCCGTATCGGCCAAGTTTTATTGCAGCCAACTACAAAAAGAAAAGAAGAACATTATATTAGTAGAAATCGTAAGTATAAGGATTTTTGCACTCAAAAATATTTTTTTTTGGAGTCCACTGAGGTGCAAAGGAAGTCATTAACTGGCAGGTTATACTGCTACCTAGAATGAACACTGGCAAACAAAAAAAACAAAGCCAGCAGAGATTAAAATACTGTACAATGCGATCTGGTGCAAGCAAACGCACTGTTTTAATAATAACATTGCAAATGCAGGTCGCAAAGTTAATGACACCCACTGCAGATGGCAAATGTTGATTTTCTCACAACGCATTCTGGTGGAAACTGTCCCTTAGTTCAAATAACACCCAATTCATATATATTTTACATTACATCAAAATGTATTCAAATATATGGTAAACCGTATCAGGCAATTCCATGTGCAGTAACTAAATTAACATAACCTAATAAGTGAGAAAAATCAGGAAATGACAACGGACAAGAGAAGGACTGAATAGAAAAAAAAAAAGCTTTTGTTTGCCAGTATAACTTCCGGTGGCCCTTGAAGGATGAGAAAGAAAAAAACCATTTACAAAATAAACAAATGCAAAATGCTCAAGTAGAACCTTGCGACTATCCTTTATACATTTTAGTGAGCTGTTCGCCATCACCCATTGACTTCATTTGTTATTAGGAACAAAAAAATAAATAAAAACATACTCTAATAGAATTTTTTTTTTTTTTTTTAAATATATACTATATTGCTTAAAGTATTGGGACATCCTTCTAAATCATTTGATTCAGATGTTCCAATCACCTCCATGGCCACAGGTACATAAAATCAAGCGCCTAGGCATGCAGACTGCTTCTACAAACATTTCTGATAGAAATGTTCGCTCTCAGGAGCTCAGTGATTTTAACCACTTGCCCTCCAGAGGATTTACCCCCTTCCTGACCAGGCCATTTTTTGCGTTATGGCACTGCGTTACATTAACTGACAATTGCGCAGTCATGTAACGCTGCATATAAATGAAATTTATGTCATCCCCCCCCCCCCAAAAAAAAATAGAGCTTTCGGTGGTATTTGATCACCGTGTCTGGGTTTGGTTGTTGCCAGGAGAAGGGTACTTGCCTGACTGCATTGTGCCAAGTGTAAAGTTTGGTGGGAGGGGAGATTATGGTGTGGGGTTGTTTTTCATGGGTTGGGCTTGGCCCCTTAGTTCCAGTGAAGGGAACTCTTAAGGCATCAGCATACCAAGACATTTTGGACAATTTCATGCTCCCAACTTTATGGGAACAGTTTAGGGATGGCCCCTTCCTGTTCCAACATGACTGCGCACCAGTGCACAAAGCAAGATCTATAAAGACATGGATGAGTGAGTTTGGGGTGGAGGAACTTGACTGGCCAGCACAGAGTCCTGATCTGAACCCGATCAAACACCTTTGGGATGTATAACAGCAGAGACTGCGAGAGCCAGGCCTTCTCGTCCAACATCAGTGCCTGACGTCACAAATGCACTTTTGGAAGGACGGTCCAACATTCCCATAGACACTCCTAAACCTTGTGGAGAGCCTTCCTGAAGAGTTGAAGCGGTTATAGCTGTAAATATTGAACCCCACGGACTAAGACTAGGATGCCATTAAAGTTAATGTGCGTATAAAGGCAGGCGTCCCAATACTTTTGGCAATATAGTGTATAAACACACACACACGTGTGTACACAGACACATACACTTGTGTTCACCCATCATAAGTCTATTCTGAATGATTTCTTAGTAGAAATGTTGGTATAAAAATACATACTGTACAATGCACAATGTGTTTGGCAGTCCAACAATGGCTTATAAGCATAGTGAGACATATTGCACATTAGTACTTTTCAATAGGAAGTTTTATTTGAGAAAAGTCTGGAAAAAAACTTGCTAAATGAATTGTACCAATTACGTATTTACAGTGAAGACTGTGTAATATGAGTGGTTTGCAGCTTCTCATACACTTGTTACTAATCATGTGTTGTTTGGACTGTTAACACAAGGATTTGTAATGTTATGAAAAACAAGTATTGCCTGAGGTTATGCCTACTGTAGGAAAGCAATTACCCTGAAAAGAAAACAAATGTTCCTACTTACTAGATTCATCTAAATAGTAAAACAACCAGCTGTGTGAGAAAACAAGCACTGCAAAGTACAACATAACCCAGGAAATTGGCCTTTAAAGAGACACTCCACCTCCCATGGCCAAGAATGGCAGTGCTTCGGTTACTAGGCCTTAGCACTGCATCATGGGAAGAAGTCACATGCCCATCCATACCCAGAAACTCCAAGTAGTCGCTCTGCAAGCCATAGAACGAGTGGCAGAGGGGCACTAATACTGGTGAGTGAAGAAAAAAAAAAAAGAAAGAAAAAAGTGGTCTGGGGGGCCTTTACACAGACACTGTCACTTTATCCTACATGGAAATGCTGACAGTTTTGCTTTAAAACCAATCTTTGCCCAATATTATTATTATTATACAGGATTTATATAGCGCCAACAGTTTGCTCAGTGCTTTACAATATAAAGGGAGACAATACAGCAACAATACAGTTCAACACAAGAGGGTTAGGAGGGCCTGATCCTGGGAGCTTGCAACCTAGGAATGCTTTAAATAATGGTATTGGTAGTGTTCTTGGTTATCAGTTTAGGGATGTGGCAGCTCTCTGCTCTTCCAGGTGGTTCATTTTCTAGTTTTTTGACACAAGGCTCTTTTCCTTGTTTCCATGGCTGAACAAAGCAGCAGGGATGCAAAGAAAATGTGCTACTGGTGGAGAGGGCATTGACGTAAATCTGTTGTCTCGTCTTGCATGGGCAAGGCACAACTTTGCTTTAAGTTCCGAATCTAAAAAAATTCACTTGCTCAAGGCATTGTAGGGGCTTGGCAAAATTGTTTTTTTTATTTATAGAACATACAAATTGCACAGGAATGGTTAGGTGCTGATACAAGTGATCAAATATAAAAAGGAAAAGAAAAAATTTGGCAGATTTTATTAATGAAAAATTCTTTAAAAAAAGGTCCACCCTGAAGGGAACATCCTTTTGCACCAACATATTCCCAAATTATTGCCAACAACATGCATCGAATTACAGCTTTTCAAAAACGTATTGAATGCCACAGTTTGAAGAAACACTCACCTTATCCCTAATGTGAATGTTTGTTAAGTACTCAGACGGGACATGGAAATCTAGGAGAAAAATTAAGAGTATGAACATTGAACCAAAAAAAGTAAGAAACCATTTAGCTCTGCCATCTGGGGAGGGTCTTGCTATATGTGAGGCAAAAAAATATCATTGAAAAGTTGAGTCCCAATTATCAAAAAGATAACATGACCTGGCTATTTTTATACTAGAAACAAACATTTATTTTTATCAAAACATCACACAAAATAACCAAGACAAACATACCAATATCTTGTGGTCGACATGGTGAGGATGCCCATGGCGATGCAAACTTCGGATAAAGATTTCTAGATTTAAAAACAAGAATATAAGCACAAAAACAGACCTGCATCATTTAAATAAAAATCATGTTTAGTGATAGAAGATGACAAGAGAGAAAATCCGTTATTTTTGATGCTGGTAACTGGGAGAAGACTGCCTTTGCAACAAGGACTAGGGGCCTTACGTGCCAATCTATGCTTAAGGCATACACAAAGGAAATATAGGCACTGACCCACATCAAGCTCGCAGCAAATTTAAAATCAGAACTGTTGGAAGTCCTCATCACTATATTTGTGCTGGGGTTAGTGACTGGGGGAGGATACAAACCAAAGCATTTCAAATAACAGCCAAAAAGGTGAGGTCAACAACAGCAGCCTACTTTTCTAATGGCAGGTTTTCTTTAAGCTCAGGGATAGGATTTTTGGGTAAAGTGTTCAATAATTGTTAGGTTTCATGTGAAGTATAACTAAAAAAAGGCAATAAAATTTTTATTTTTTTTAAATTTTGGATAGAGTAGAGTGGGATTAGAATGCTTGTTGGTTTTTATTGCTGTTGTGTCCCAGTTCAGAAGATTCCCCCCTCTGTTTGCCATTGTCATTGAAAGAAAAACCCAAATTTTGGGTTGTCGCCAGAAAAGTAATAGGGGGAAATCTTCCAATCGGGACACTAGTTCTGGGGACCTAGGTGTCCTCCAGGAATTCCCTTAATTTGCAGCGATTTCTCCTAACTTGCTGTTTGGCTGAGACAGGAAGTGAAGAGAAATCTCCGCAAAGGGACACAGATGGGAAAAAAATTAGGATGCAGCTGTGCCTGGGACCATTTATATTTTCTGCATGCAAACGCGTATGCACACATAAAAAGACATTAGAAGAATTGTATGCATCTAAACACGAGTACTTCTGCTAGCTCTGCCAGGAAGAAAGTGTGTTCCATACAAAAAAACAAAACACAAACACTTGGCTGTGTGAATGAGCCCTAAGAATTAACTTCGCTTATTTGCTCCTTGCTACAAAATTAAAAGTGTTGTTACATTTGCACTATATATAGATTTTATATCCCAAACACACACACCTCTTGGTAATCATTAAGTCATAGCTGTCCTGTGCACACCATGCACTCTCTCAAGGAAAGTAATTAGCTATTATGTTGTGGAGATGAAAGAGTGGGTAGGTCTGAGTAGTTTAGGGAAAAAAAATCTGGGTAGGACTGACGCTCAGTCCACAAAAATGTGTGTTGTCAGGCCACAACAAGATTCAGCAGCTACGGGCATTTCTGGAGGAACAAGTATTTTTTTTGTACTTATCAGGGATATTAAAATAACGTGGGAATGTGCATGTAGTGCTAGTGCAGAGATGTACTGAATAGATTTTTGTTTTTTCAATTTTTGTCCTGACATACACTAAGGGCAATAGTAAAAGTTATGGCAGAGTTTGTTCACTCTGTGAGGTGACCTGCCTTTTTCTGCACTGGATAACTGCAGCTTACTGCTGAGGCAGATAGAAAACAACTTGTTCTGTGCCCCTTCACAACAGTGCCCTAAGCAGTGTGGTACAATTCTGAAAAATGCAGCATATCTGCATCTTTCCACAGCACACAAAATGTGATCATGTTACTGCACAGCAGCTTAACACTGTGCTGCTGTGCACAGACATAAATGAAGTGTTAACGAAAAAAAAACCAAAACAAAAGAAGAATGCTGTGTGATGCACTAAAATGTGAATCACACCACTCCCTGACAAAGCCGACACCAACACTAGCCTGCAGAGTAACACGCTGTGTTTTACCAAGTAGGCAAGTGTGAACCTAGCCTAAAGGTCACATTTCGACTTAGGCATTTTCAGGAAGGTAACTGTATATTTAAGGGTTTTGGATAAGTATAACTTTAAGAGAGCCCAAGACTTGTCCCTTTATAAGTTTATGGACTTAAAACTAAAAACATGTCCTTTGCAGAGGTTTGGTTTTAGTACAAAGAAATGTGGTTCCAAACTTGAAGAGAAAGCAACATTTTTGTTGAGCTGTGATTTTCTTAAACAGGCAAGTGGATCTATGACTTTTTCATTTAGGCTCCTTGCACACTAGCTTGAAAAAAAAAAAAAAAAAAAAATGCTGCTCCTAGAGGAGTTTAGGGATTTGTCTGTAGAAGCAAATAATGTTATTCTATCTGTCCATGCACATTTGGCAGTCTAGAGGAGTTTAAGTTCAGCATTTAGAGGCTTCTGTTTTGCATTTTTGAGAGCATTTTCCTGGCAGTAAAAAAAAAAATAAAAAACCACACTAAATGTGCAGAAACACTAGTAAAAAAAATGCTCAAAATTAGCAATGGCTTTTTTTTTTTTTTTTTTTTACAGTAGTGTACATGGAGCCTTAATGTGAAAAAGTCAGGCGTCCTCAATACAGTACAGTTTCCTTTTAAAGTGACACCAACGCACGAAAAAGGACATGGGACTGGTATTCATAGACCATGAGGCATACCCAGAGCAATAAAATGGAAAGGACAACATTATAGCAACATGGAACTACCAACAAGCTCACAAGAAATACAAGGGTTTAAAGAAGCCAAACAATATACTCAGGTAACAGCCTGGACCATGTTTCGGCCAGAGCTTGCATAAGCTGTGGCTCGGACATCCACCTGTTAGAACTTGGAAAATGTGTGTAAAGAGGGCGGAATTGCAAAACTGGGAAATGTGCTTGATGCTGAAAAGCCCAGAAGACCTCTACACTCCAGAGCAATGGGCTCTGATGCAAAAGGGAAGAATCTGAAATGAGTTATCGGATTCACCTGGAAATGGTGAAGCAGCGTGTCCTCTATGAGGACCTCCAGGTAGAACAGAAAGGGACTGCATCTTGCAAAAGGAGGTCATGAATGCCAAGGAAGGCTCTTTAGTAGGACAGAGCTGCTAAGTCAGAAAAGATGGAAAAACCAAGAAAGCAACCTTAAAATGGTGACTTTTCCAAGGGAATTCTCTAATCCAGGCCTTGAAATTTCCACTCGCCTGCTCGCCAATAGCGAGTGAAAATTATGGTGGGGGCGAGTGTGTCCCCCAGGGCCATCTTGCTGAGCAGGCTCGGAGCTCAGGCCAGATCTGTCATTGTCACTGGGAGCTGTCACACTGCTCAATAGCTGAGCGCAGTAAAAGAAAAGGAAGGAGTGTGTGTTGTGCTCTCTGCCTCCCCCTCGAGTGCAGTACCCGGCTCTGTGAGTGAGCAACGAAGTACTGCAACTTTTTATAGGGGGGGGAGGGGTGTACATGTGTCTGTGCGTGTGTACATGTATCTGTGTGTATGCGTATGTATGTGTGTGTGTACATGCGTATGTATGTGTGTGTGTACATGTGTATGTATGTGTGTATGTGTGTACATGTGTATGTACATATTTATGTATGTGTGTGTGTGTACATGTGTATGTGTGTGTATACATGTCTGTGTGTATGTACATGTTTGTGTGCGTGTGTACAGGTGTCTGTGTGTTTGTTGGTGGCGAGTAACTCTTAAGGCCTGGCTAGTAGCTCAGGACTTGAAATTTTAAGCCCTGCTCTAATCAATTCAAAAGGGAGGTCTCTGAAAAGCAGAGTGCACCAGGTTGGGACCCCAAGGTGACACAGGAGGTCGAATTCGAAGGAGTTATACAAGTAATTTCTTAGAGATAATGGGGTAAGGGATTGCAAGGCAAGGGGTATCTGCAGAAAAAAACAGATAAGACAGATACCTGTCCCTTGAAGGTTCTCAGGACCAGACGCTAGTCAAGGCCAGCCTGAAGGATGGTCACGATATGAGTGTTAGAGTAGCCCCTCCTCCCCCCCCCCCCCCCGAACAAAGCAAAGTAAACCTTCCGCATGCAATGGTAAATCTTGCAGGAGTTGGATTTTTTTGATCCAAGTAAGGTGGGAATAACTGGATCAGAGATACCCTTATCCTTTATAAATTTGGAATTCAACAGTCTTTTAAATAAGTGGCAGAGAAGCAGGATGGCACAGGTAAGTCTGATCTGTCTGAAAATAGCCAGTGCCAGTAAGCCAGAGGTCTGAGTGTGTGTACACCACATTCTTAGAGAAGGAAAGAGTCCTGATGATTCTCATCAAACCAAATTGGTTCTATTTTTAAAGCAGTCGTAGGAGAACTTTCATTACAGAGAAGGCATAAACCAGTTGGAATGGAGTGCAAAAAATCACAGATCATTTACTTTGAAGGCTATAGGCTCCCTGTCTTAGCCACAAATTTGTGCAGCTTGAGAAGGGAGGTTAAATGACCTTGGAGAAGGGAGGTTCAATTTGGTAGAGACAATATGATGGTTCTCCATTCTAGAATGTTGAGCTTAGATACCCGTGGGGACAATTTCCCTTGAACAAATCGGGGAGATATAAACTCTGTCCCAGGTTGTAAGACTTGTATCTGTCATTACCACGTTCCAAGACCTGTGAAGGAAAAAAAGTTTCCAGTTCCAAGGCAGGACTGGAGGTTTAACACATCAGGGAAATCTTTGCTTAATATGACAGAAGCATTGGGCGATCAAAGGATTGTATCAGCTTGTTTACATCTTGAAGATGTTGGATTGGAGGAGTCTGGAGTGAAATTGGGCAAAGTCTCTGTAGATGATTGCAGCAAAAATGCAGAACATGCTGTTTGGGTTGTTGTCGAAATAGATGGGTACAAACATCATCTGGGAGGCATGAAGCGTTTACATAATTCTTCTGAGAATTAGGAAGGAAAAGCACTTTTTGAAAACTGCTCACTGAAAACTGGTGGAGACAAAATGGCAGGTGCCATCACAATAAGGGACCACCAAAATCTCTAAACTGCAGTGTGCCAAGCCTTGTGAATTAGTCTTGTTGAGGTGGAACTTCACTTTCGAAATTAACATTCACCATTTTTAATCCTAAAGCTGCTAGCTTTAGTAAATGGATAAGCAAGGATATCATATTTACTTGTTTTACGTTTTTATTTTACATTTCTTCCTGGACTAGGTAAATGACCTCATTTGCCTGGTCCTGGAAATCAGGAAGTAACTGAAGAAGTATTAAAAAAAAAAAAAACTAAAAATTTACAAGTAAATCCCAGGCGTCTTCAGGAGGAGTTTCCTCAGCTAAGCACACCCTCCTGCCTGCATGCCTGAAATAAGGGTAGATGGATTCCAGGAAGTGAAGGATACAGGAGTCAACTGCCCTTACTCAAAAAATGGCCACAGACAGAAAATGCTTAGATGGTTAAAAAAACAAACAAAAAAAAAAACAACAACACGCACACAAACAAACAAATATAGCCACAAACCAAAACACACACACCCACAAAACACAGCCCCTGTCACTGAGTCCTGTACAGCCTGAAAGGGGCCCCCACTGCCAGAGAAAATATAAAAATTATATTTATGGTAAAAATACAATAAAAAAATCTTTATTAATGTACACAATCCCAACAAAATTCCTGTTAAATCTAAATGATAAAACTGTGCTGAGTTAATAAATAAAGCTGTGTGTGTAATTGAGGTCTTGAGGCTCATTCACATAGGTGTTGTGGCCTGTAGAGTGTGAATCAGTGGTTCTTTATGTGGCTGGAGCCGCTTGCAGGTAACCTATGTTACACTATGGAAATGCTGCATGTACTAACTTGACAGGCATATGGGTGCAGGTGTACAGCCCTGAACACAGACAGTGAACATTCAGGACCACTTCCCCACACCTGCACAACTGTCAGATTAAAACCTGTGTTCATACTGCTGCTGTGTCCCCATAGCGTAACATTCATTCATGCTGTACAGGCCAGAGGACCTGTGTGAATGTGGAATTTGACACATTTTTTTTCCTCAGCCCATTAATTTTAATGGGCTGCCTAACGTGTGGGAACATGCAAAAATACTGCAGTCATTATTTTAAAAGTGTGTTGCACGTAACCGTACAGTAGTGTGGTACCATGCATTTTGGAGGCTGTAAATGCATCTGTGTTTATGGGATGTGTTGAGGTGCAATTAACCACTTGCCTACGGGGCACTTATACCCCCTACCTGTCCAGGCCAAATTTTCAGCTTTTAGTGATGATGCACTTTGAATGACAATTGCGCGGTCATGCAACACTGTACCCATATGAAAATGTTTATCTTTTTTTCACACAGCGTTTTCTTTTGGTGGCATTTAATTGCCGCAGGCTGTTTTATTTATTGCGCTATAAACAAAATGAGCAAAAAATTTTTCAAAAAAGTATTTGTTTCTATTATTAAATTTTGCAAACAGGTAATTTTTCTCCTTCACTGATTTGCATGGATTGGGCAGCACTGCTAGGTGGCACTGGTATGCAGCAATGATTGGCACTGACTGGTAGCACTGCTGGGCACAGGTGGGTGGAACTGCTGGGCAGTGATCATCAGTGCCGATCTTTTCTGACAATTGTTGGTTCTCTGCAGTACTTTCCTCATGCTGTGATAGCGTGAGGAAAGTGCAGCCGACAACTGAATTTACCCCGGTGATCTGCTGTGTCATTGGACACAGCCGATCACGTGGCAAAAGGCCGTTGTGATTGGCCTTTTAACACATTACGTGATCAGCTGTGTCCGTAGGACACAGCGATCACAGATCACTAGGTGTGCACCGCTGGGGGCGCACGTTCTGGGAGGACGTCATATGACGTCCTCCCAGAACTGGACAACCACGCTGTAGCTGTCATTCAGCTATAGCCCGGTTGTCAAGTGGTTAAGTATTCATGGTACCTGTGCACATCTACAAAGGGCATTGTTTCTTTGCTGTGCATGAAAATACAAAATTTCTGGACCACAAATGGTGTGAACAAGTCCTAAGGGCCGTTTCACACTACAGAAAACGCAGTCTTGATGTGTTCCAGATGCATTTTTGGTGAGTTTTTAGTGCGTTCCGGTGTGTTTTTGCCGCATTCCAGTTCATTTTTTCCCCTCTTTTTCTTCAATGCAATTAATGACATGTGCGTTCCAGTGTTTTTGGTGCACTCTGGTTTGTTTTTGATGAGTATTACTGTGTTCCAGTACAGTTCTGTGCAGAAAAACATACAGCCTGTTCTACTTTTTTTTTCTGCATCTGAAACACACTGGAACTGCAAGAAATGATGTGAACCGTGACAATGACAACCATATAACCTACTTTGTGTGCTTTGGATGCAGAAAAAAAAAAAAGCAACTGAAAACGCATGGAGTGTGAACCGGCTCTAAAGGTTATTATATGTAAGGGAATCGGGCTCACCAGGAATTGTGAAGGCAATCAGACTAAAAGGTGAGATACAATTAGGATTCCTATAATAATGCTATAATAATAATGTGATGACAGAGGGGGAAGGGGGAAAAGAGTTTTGTAGCAGTGAGCAGAAAGTTCAGCAGTCTGGGGGGAGAGGAGAGAAACAAAGTTGCAATCAAATGTAAATAGAAGGAAACTTGAAAGTGTCAAACCTGTGAAGCAGAGCGGGAGTGCAGCTAACATTCACAACACTGTGCTGCTCTGTGACAGAATTACAGGAAGCCAACAATGTCAATTATCAGCTACAGATGGGCTTGTCAGCTGCCCGGGCCCGCCTCTGCAGCTGAAGGGGCCGGGACCCCTACAGGAGGGCCAGGTGTACCCCCTTCTCAGCGGCCCCACACACACACAAAAAAAAAAAAAAAAAAAAAAAAAAAAAAAAAAAACACACCCACACTTCTCCAGGGGAAAGAGCAGGTCAATTACCTAAGGACACTAGCCAAAAACTGGAGCATCACAGAGTAGATGGGGTTTTTATATTGGTATGCTCTAGGGGTGGCCCTGGCAACATTTTTTTTTTTCCAGCATTCACTCACCAGGAAGCAGCAAAGTTTTAAAAAACAAAAACTTTACCTTAGCTCTGACTTCTGACACTTCTGGAAGGCACAGCATTCCAGCAGTGCATTCTCCCTCTGTTTTGAGCACCCAGAAAAGATGAGGCATGGCGACAACACCGATACCTCCTGGAAGCATTTGAAGTAAAAAATGGGGTATATTCAATGGCTTTTTTGTTTTAAGGAGAACGGGATCTTGATATTCCAATCCACTTACACCTATTCCTTACTAGAAAGCTGTCAGCAGATTTTATCACTAGCTTGAAGAAACCCCTAAAACACATACAAAAAAGGTTTCATATCACGGTTTTTCTATTAGAAACGGTTAGAATGCTTCTGTATAAATGTGGGGGAAAAAAAAAAAAAACAGGACTTTTCACACTACAAATCTGAAGATATTTTGATTCTAAGTGATGTGGTGTCAAGTAAAAAATATGCAACCAATAAAAGTAAAACAAACAGGCCATTCCTTCATATAGAGCCTTGTAACAAAGATTTGCCCAATACCACACCAGCAAAAAAAGTCAACATTTTAAAGAAACTGAGAACTTTACTTCAAAAGTTCATTAACTGCTAGATGCAGTCCAGTTCTCAAAGTATACGTATCTTGACATATCTTATACGTCTTTGCCATTGCTACCCTGCATCTGTAAATGTTATTTACGTGGAGGCTAGAAATGACAGGCGTTCTTGTAATTTTTGGCAATGATAAAAAAAACTTTTCCAACTTATATACATTAAAGTCAGGGACTATGAAGTGCAACTCATTCAGGGCAACGTTACAACTAATACTTACCTCTCCAGCAGTTCCCTACAGTCCTGTTTGCCTGTGGGCACCCTGAGTAAAAAACAGTCCGGTATAAGCTCAGTGCTAGAGCTTAAACAGGAATCTATTATAAAGACAATCCCTCTTCCTCGCCTTGATATGCAGGCCTAACTGCTGATCGCTTAGGTGCTGAGCAATGTATTGTGGGATGAAGGAGAAAGGATCACTTGCATCCCCACATCCAGAAGTATAGGGTATGTCTAAATGAGATTGGGGCGTGTTGGAAAGGTCTGTAAAGGAGGAGTTAGATTTGCCCTGACCAGGCAACATGATCCGTTTTACTTGATGAGAAGAAAAAATACTGAAACTCACAATTCATGAAAAGTCTACTTTCAAAGCTTTTCCCTTCCAGCCTGTCATATGCACTAGAAACCTGACACAGGAAACAAATTGGATGCTAGGGGCAACACAGATAGTTCTTTGACAGTCTAATTAAATAAGGAATGCATTCTTTGTTTCCAGCAAGAAGGGGGGAAAAAAACAAAGAAGAAAACTGTGTGTTTAGTATCGTGATCAATGAAAGTGCACTAAATTCTATTGCAATCAATCTAGGTAAAGTTTTTCAAAAAGCATGATTCCAGTACATAAAAAAAATTCCTATATTAAACAAAAAAAAAAAAAAAAAAAACACCCACACAAAAAACTTACTGCACATATTTTTTGGATTTCAAAAAATATACTTCCATTTGAAGAAAAAAAAAAATAAATGTCTTTACACGCTGTTCAATGAGAGTTTTATTTCCCAGACTTGGCATAGACTGACAAATATCTCTCGGTTTGCATAAAAAATATAGAAATGGACATCATTAGTAAAAAGCACAGAGAACAAAAACAGACTTACTCTGGAGAGTTGAGATTGAGGCCTAGTGTTGTCAAGTCACTTCCTAATGCAAGATGCACCATCCCTGGGTCTGTTTCAGCTGCCCTGATGAATGTTAACAAGCCAATCATGCCAAACTGATCTGTCACCATACCTTGAGGAATGTTGGTAACGCGGCCTGGACAAGAGACATACCAACAATCAGAATTAGAAACATCTAAAAAAAATATTTTTGTCAAGAGCTTGAGGTGTTAAACAAAACACAGAACAAGAAGTCAAGACTGTGTTAGGAAGTAAAGCAGTAATAAACCTAAACCCAAAAATGTAATATATTGCAGCTTACCAATCATTGGATGTGGTGGCTGCACTAGTTTTCTTTTTAGTCTTTTTCCCTCCGGTTTTCACCGGCCAGCAACACCTCCTGTATTAGAGTGCCTACACACTGCATGAAGGAGCAACAGACACCTCTGGACAGCAGCATTGTCAGTCAGGGGGAGTAGAGTGGTAGATACTCTAACAAATGTAAATGCACTAATAATTTAAAGCCAAACTCCAGCTAACACTTTTTAGGGAGTTACAGCAACAGTTTTTTTTTCTTTTGGGATATTTTATATAAAAGATGATCACCCGTCAGTGGTAAATGGTTTGTCTCAAGTATAACTGCTACATCTGCAGGACAGCTTACTCTGTTAAAAAAGTTACAGACTTACTGGCTGGATCACCAGGTGAAAAGAACAGAAAGCATATAAAAAGGAAACTAATGCAGTCACCATATCTAAAAATCAGTACGCTGCAATACATTAAAATGTTTGCTTTAGGGTTGAATATGGTTTTAAAAAATTTAATATAAAGTGAGAAAATATCCTGAGTGTAAATGTTGGTACTAAGGTGTTGTGTAAGAACATTTTAAACTCGGGGTGGTCTCAGTGTTCTGGCACTTAAAGAGAACCAGTCACTACTTGGTTATACATGCTATACCGGTTATACCAGTCACTACTATGAATATTCACTCTTAAAATTAAAATGTCTATATAAACTTTCTAATGATAAATTTTAATTTGTCACCTTAGTCAGCTTTACTTCCTTTGCCTCTACCTTTGGAATCAAGAGTGAGAGGTCACCAGAAGTCAAGAGTTGCTATGGTCCTAAACCACCTGACCTTTCACACTTTTTCCAAGTTCCTGATAGTGGAAAATAGTGTCACATAACCCTAGAGAGTATTTGTTACTGACAGTTATACAAGCTCATCCTTTGGTTGATGTAGACCTGTTCAGAAACACTGAGACAGATGTTTCTGTGTCCGAGTACTCCTCTCTGGTGCAAGCAATAGCACCTAACACATTCATAAATCTGACCAAAAGTATTCAAAGGATAGCTCCATTGTAAAGCACCAAAGAATACACTGCCAAGAAAAAAAACCAGTTATTTTTTCTTTCCGTTAATGTGCTAAGTGGAAGAACAGATGTACACAAAGTGCGAGTTTGAACACCCTTCTGAAGAACAAATCCACCTGGGTTTGGTTCAGTTTACAGATAAACACACTGAAATCCTCTTATTAAATTCTTGCTATCTGTAGGGCTAATATAGAAGAGTGTCAACAAAAGGCATGGAAGGCCAGGCACCGCCATGGAGAGTATGTACCAATGCCAAAAATAAAAAAAATAATAAAAAGCATAACGGGTCCATTATTCAGACAACATGGCTGCTGTGAGAGTGCCCTTTTATATAAAAGGGGCTAGGTTATAAATGTCATCAATCAATTGGCTCTTGTGAGATACCTTTGCCAGGGGCAAAGGTAATGCACTGAATACTAGGCAATTCTTTATTTCTGGTAACGTGTTTGGCCAAAGGTTCCTGGAAATTCGCTGTGAAAGTCAAATGAGTATGAACACATCGGTGGAATATGGCATTGCAGGCAGAAAGATGAATGTTTAAAACACACAAGCTAAATAATATGACCCAAAAATGCAGGGTACAGGCTATAATGGCAATGCTTTAAAAACAGAAAAGCTCCAACCCTTTGCTGTGAACCTCTATAATGGGATTTTTGACTTGCCTGTAAAATTTAAATACAGTACAGGACACAGGTCTTCATATTCATAACAGATGTGTTATATGCCACACCTTCAGATGCCTGGACACTGGCAAAGCCAACCAAAGCTTTAACACTCAAACCATGCAAGCCTCAACTTTGTAGCATGCAATGTTAGGATCAAGTCACAAAGGAGGATCCTGCGTCCTATACTATACACCAAGAATTTAAGAGGCAACGCAAAAAGTACAATTTTTCTTTATCGTACAGGATGGAAGCGAATCATATCTGGGAACCAAGCACTCGTTCATCGGTTTGAACTCACCAAAATTACCAGCACAGTTTCTATCTCAAAACTGCAAAACAAAGGAGATAGCAGTTGCAGAGGAGAAAAGACATACATTAGCAGGAATTAATCCCCTTCCTGCACTCTGGTCACAAATCTGTTCAGCTTCTTGTAGAATATAGATGCCAGGAGGTCCACATCTGGTGTCCAAGATAGCACTCAATACATAGCAGCCATAGGGTCTTTCCATAGAGGTGGGAATAGCCCAAAACAGGGGTGGTCCATATTTTTGGTACCACAAAGATATGGTCTTTGAAAAGGGCCTGCACCCCCTAAATTGTACTCTGGTGGTCAGCTCATGATGGGGTACCAGCCACATAACCATGTTTGACGGGTTAACCTGATTCATCACAGTCATAGGTTCAAAATTTTGCTCACTTCAGTTAGACATCCCCACCCACTAGGAGACCACAGTCTTGAGCCAGTAGAGCATCTGGCAGCAATGCACACACTGCACTACATACCTAGGTGCATCATCCTCCTTCTGGGTCCACTGTAGTTGCAGTATTACAGGCTATCCCCATCCCATCTTTGCACGGGGACTGGGTACAGTCTATGCAGGACTAAGCCAGGGGGAACCGATCAGGAAAGATCACATTGTCGTAATAGCTTGGTGTAGCAAATGACTGGATAGATCTCTAAACACTAAAAACATACTAATATATATTCTCCCCTCAGAGAGAGATAAAGCCATCACCTAAATACACTAGAAAAATAGTTGTACAGTGGGAGTGCTCAGGCCTTGATGCCAGTGCCCAATCATCTTAATGTGTGGCAAAGAACCCATCCATTATAAATATGAAGACCTATGTCCTGTACGATAAAGAAAAGTAAATCTAATATTTTTAAAGCACACAAAGTAATGCGGACAGTGCACAGAGGAAATATGAAAAAAAAAAAAAAAAAAAAAAAAAAAAGGTACCAAACTTCTACCTTCACAGTGCACAAGACCCACCACCCTGAAAAGCCCATGCTTCCACAATGGGGTATGCATCTACCTTTCCACAGTACAACACCTGAAGCCTCAGCAATCTATCTATATTAGCAGAGGTCCACTAAGTAATGCATTATGGAAGGCAGAGGGAAATGTACATGTGCACCACATGCCAAAGTTTTCAGGGGGCTCCAGTGTACATAGAGGTAGAGAATCATGGAGCAGGATGCGGCACCTTGTCATCAGTTTGCTTGGTAAGATATTACAGGCTCTTTTTAAACAAAAGTTGTAACTGGACACAAAACTGCCAACATGTAATATGTTTTACTAAACTGCAAACAAATACAGAAAAGAAACGATGATTTCAGATACATTACCATCAGGTAAAACCTGAATCCCTTTTTTCTGCTGGTTATTATTTTGCGTCGTGGAGCTTTTATCTCCTGGAAATTTGGGTCCATCTGTACTTGAGGCAGTCTTTCCTGGCGTATTTAAATTCTGCATGCAAATAAATAAGTTAGTTTTGATTTTCTTCAGGGGGGGAACAAGAAAAAAAAAAAAAAAAAAAAAAAAAGTTGGTTTCCACATGCTATTACTACATATTTATATTCCACAAATATGATGCGCTATTCAAATATCATAAATTCACCTATGATATTTGAATGGTGTACCATATTTGTGCAATATACCTTTTAGCAGTGCTCGGGCTATTTTCTGGTTGCATTATTTCTTTAAGATACATTCACTAAGCGCAGGGTATACTGTAACCGTTTAATATTAGATATTTGACTTTTGCAGTGTTGCTTAATGTATAATATTGTGGAATCCATACATACATACATACTGAAGAGACCGCGGTTTGGGAGTTTTGGCTCAGTTCTCTTCATTCGCTCAGAAAAGCAGTATCTAACCAATGGTTCCTCACACAGGTGCAGAGACCAGTAGAGCTTGAAGAGCCATTTGTTTATCTTTTAGTACCAACATATTGCTGCATGCAGGCAACCTATACATTTGGGTGGATATGTATCAGCTGTATGCACTCACACACATAGCCTAGTCCTACAGATATGCAGGGACATGTGTATGACCTTCAGGTACATTAAACAGAGAAAGGACTTCATGCTGCACAGGACTGTGTGTCCATATGAATGAACCCTTACTAAACTCTTGTTGTAATATGCCCTTCCTGCCAGTAAGCGTAACTCAAAGCTGAGGTTATCGAATTCATAGTGTTATGGGAATGTTTAACATTAACCAGGGTTACTGGAATAATGAAGACATTTAAAGAATCAGTAAAGCAAGAATATAAAAACTTTTCATTTCAAATCTGTAGAAACATACACCCTTGAATATTAAAAAAATAGAAAAAAAAAAAAAAAAAAAGGTTGACATTTACCCCGTGTTCAACTTTACTGAATGTGAGAACTATGGAGAGAACAGTCAAACATAATAAGCCCCCTGAAGTTTGACCACAGTTTAAAACTAAATATGAAGATTTTTGTCAAATCAAAATGGTGTGAATGGGGGCTTAGCAATGGTAGTAGCATTGCTGCTAGATGACACGCTTCGCTTTCAAACAAAAGCCGGCAGGAATCCTGGGTGATATAATTTACTAAAAATGGTTATCATATGGGCGCTCACCTTGATAGCATCTACATTGCTGGTTGATGTGACTGATGTATTTAGATCGTGAGACACTGCCCTCATTTCCTTGCTAGACACCTTGACCTTCATCCCAGATTTTCAAAAGAAAATGTGGTCTGGGGAGGAGGATTTATAATCTGGAAGCCCCCTTTAGAAGTAAACCCCAGACATCTGCTGTCCTTTCAAAAGGTAAGTGACTTAGAGTACACAGTACCCCTTTATACTCATTCCACAAAACTGTAAATAGGAAAAACACCAACTTGTGAAAAATGTCCTTTTTAGGGGGTGGAAAAAACCCAATATACCCCAATATTTTAATGGACAGTAAATCCAATGTCAATCGAGCTGTTCAGCAATGTAGGACACACATGAACCTGTCAACCACTGCTATTACGACAAATGATAGATCCCTGTATGGCTTCTTTATATTTACATTTTTTTTATAGGCTTCAGGTTTTTTACTGTAATGCATTTTCTGCATTAAAATATAAAAAACACTTATGTGCAGCTCCCCTCAAGTACCATCTAAATACATACCTGAGCCCGATCTCAATCCAGCGCTGCACTCTTCCTCCCCACTGGACTCAGTGAAAGCAGCAAGAGCCACTGGCTTAATGAGGGAGTGGGGGGACGGGGTTGAGGTGTGTCAATAGGCACACACAGTGCAGCTCAGGATCAAGCCAGCACATATGACACCATAGGAAGTGGATTCCTATGGTAGCACACAGAAGGAGGAGGAGAAGCCCAAAGCACTGGCAGGGGACACCAGAAGAGTATGGTCAGGGCCACTATGAGCAAAACCACTGCACAGAGCAGGTAAGTATAACATGTTTATCAAAAAACAAAAAAAACACATTTACAAAATCACTTTAATAAAGGGTTTGGGCATGCTGGGTAACATCGCTTACAGAACAGGAACATGACCATGACCCTTTTTCCTGTGTTCACTGAACCTTCTGCAAACTGAACTTTGCTCAGCTCGCTTACACCTATGGATTTATATCCTTTTCGGCTACTAAGGATTATATTTAAATAAAAGTATTCATGGCCAGAGTCTAGCTCTCAGCCACCCCTCCAGTGCCAAACCAAACCAAAGGCCTAGGCTCCTGTTCACATGCACCAGCATTTCTCTCTAGGAAAGGTAGTAGCTTTCAGTTCTATTATTCTTCTGTTAGAAATCTTGCTAGGATGCATACGGAATATTCAAACGGTCTTAAATTAACATACAAGAGTGATTAAACCTATGATAAGGCATAATTATTAAGGATCCCTTGACACCTGTGCTGTCTGAGGTTTCATGACAACCATGAGCTGCCAAAGCACCACAAAAGAACCTATAATAGAACCTACACAATTCTTGCCAATGCAGTGCACAATAAATGGCAGTGTGTTACTGTGTGTTGCACTGCAATCTTATGTGTGCGCTGGTTTAATGCTTTGGGCTGTCTTTCAATATTAAAAACACCACTGTAAGCCATCCCAGGATGACCCCTCCTACTACCAGCATGCAGCAAAGCAGCACTGAGTGCAGGAATATAAAAACACAGAGGGGTGGAAACTTTACCCCCCATAGGACACCAAGAAAAGGATTTTAAAGTGATTTTAAAAAAGAAAATCTTTTTTTTTTCGTCCATTGAGGGGGGACAGGAAGATATTCACCTCCAGACTTCCAAAAGAAGAACATGTGAAGGGTGGGCAACACAGAAAACAAGCAGCAACAAGCCCAAGGGGCTTAGATAAGGCCACAACACCTGGTAGAGCTTTGAGAACGTAATGGTGCTTGCAAATCTGGGGAACCACTGCTTGATGACAAAAAGCTCAAGAAGCACATGCATTTAGTAGAGTATCCCTGACAGGAAAGGATGGATCCTTGAGATTATAAGCGTATGTGCTCAGATTAATGCACCTTTACTGCAGCACATGTTGAATGTGCTGGTGTGTTGAGAAAACCATTTATTCTTAATGGAAATGATGCACCTTGCTGACGGATGTACAACTGAAGCACAGTGTGTGTGAATAAGTTTACACACATTAGTGGGCTACCAGTTGCTGCAGCGCATATCCATTGGGAAAGTTAATTGGGGTGTCATTTAGAATGGATGACACCAATGTAATGTGTGTTGCCACGCATTAATGCAATGGAATAGTGTGAATGAGCTCTAAAAGGAAGCAGAGGCTGAGATACAGACTCTCCCAGCTTAAACCACATCTGGACTGTTAGGACACAGTGATCAGAAATGCAGCGCCGATTGAATTAACCACTTGCCAACTGTGCTATAGTCGAATGACCGTTACAGCGTGGTTGTCCAGTCCTGGGAAGGCGTTATATGACATCCTCCCAGAACGCGCCCTCCTGCGTGCCCCTGGTGATCTCCGTGATTGCAGTGTCCTACGGACACAGCTGATCACGTGATGTGGTAAAAGGCCAATCACAGCGGCCTTTTACCACTTGATCAGCTTTGTCCAATGACACAGCAGATCACCGGTACATGCATGAGGAAAGTACTGCCGATAATTGGCAATTGTCAGAGGATGGATCGGCACTGATGATCAGTGCCCAGCAGTGCCCTCCACCTGTGCCCCCACCAGCGCCACCTGTCAGTGCAGCCTCATCAATGCACATCAGTGAAGGAGAAAATAATTACCCGTTTGAAAAATTTTATAATAGAAACAAAGAAAAACTTTTTTTTTCTTCAATTTTTTGCTCTTTGTTTATAGTGCAAAAAAAAAAAAAAAAAAATTTAAAATACCACCAAAAGAAAGCTCCATTTGTAGGAAAAAAATGATAAAAATTTCATATGGGTACAGTGTTGCATGACCACGCAATTGTCATTCAAAATGCAACAGCGCTGAAAGCTGAAAACTGGCATGGGCAGGAAGGGGGTACAAGTGCCCAGTAGGTAAGTGGTTAAAAGTTACCAACAAGTCCTGTTCGAGGGAAGACTCAAGAGATCAGCTCTTGAGAGGGAACAGCCATAGATGGATAAATTCGGCCAGTTCAGCAGGGGATTTCTATTCTACCTTTCGATGGCTTTAGTAGTAAAGAATGAACTTCCTAGACCTCAACATTACCTTGTCCCTACGCAAAACTTGAAAAAGGTTCTTTGCAGGACAAGGCCCCCAAGACCTGATTCACATTAGTAGCAGCTACAAGGAATACCACTTTGTGGGTGAGAGAGAGTGCAGAAAGAACCAGATTCAGATTCCACAAGACACAAGTGAGCAAACAGGGGAAGCTACATGTTAAACTCCCTGTAAAAAGGTCTTAATCAAGGAGTGAAAGGCCAACAGTCTACAAACAGACTAGAAAAAAAAAAAAAAAAAAAAAAAAAAAAATGACATCTGGCCCTCGATACTGCTGAGAGCCAAACACTAGTCCAAGTCCAGCTGTAGAAAGATTCTTCCCACAGAAAATCTCCTAGGGTAAAAGCTCCAAGATTCCTAGTAGCCTTCAGCAATGTAGGAATCAGATATGAGATACCCTTGTCTGTCTCTGAAACTCTGAGCTTTAAAAACAGCCATGCTGTTAAAGCTGGTGACCATAAAAGCAGAATGGCAAATCTGTCTAAGACAAAAAGAGCCTGAATTTGGGAAGAGGCCATGGAACATCCGCCAGGAGTCTTACTAGCTCAGCATACCAAACCCGCTCGGGCCAATCTGGAGGAATAAGGATCATCAAAATGCCTACCATCATGATCCTGCAAAGCGGATAAAAAAAAATTAAGGTATAAATTTCTTATACTGTACAGGATTCCAGGAACTGTGTTGCAGGTATGAAGCACTGGATTTAGACCACCTGGTTTCCATGTTTAACACAACAGAGATCCCTATGCGAGCAGAGAGAGCTCTCCAGTGGGTGCAGTGGATGCTCTGGTGGCCCCATGGGATCAGTACACCCCGATCGATCTATTGATTTATATTTTATTGTAAAGCACTGCACAAACTGTTTAGAGCTAGTTTGCACAGACTGTTGGTGTTTAGTTCTATCAAAGTGTACTGATCCCACATAGCCACCAAAGCATCTGCCTCTTCGCCTCCAGAATCCCAGTGACAGGAGAAAACCTCTCCAGTTTGTTATTAAACATGGAAATCAGGACTTCACATCTGGTGGCCCCTACCTGTGACACAGGCCCTGAAATTCTGTATAACAACCTATAACTTTCCTCCCAGAAAGTCACCTCGTTTGCTTTGAAGGAGCAAAGAGACAATTTTGGCATTCATAATTGCTCCAGACTAGCCCAGGCAGGTGTGGTATGTTGAATTGGTAAGACTCCTGGCAGATGCTGTGGTGGCTCTGTGTAATTCAGTGCACCCACCCTGACCAAACTCGCACCAGCAGTGTTCACAAACTAGTGCTAAAAGTTTGTGCAGTGCATTACAATAATATAAAATCAATAGATCAGGGCATAACAATCCCACAGACACCAGAGCATCCACTCTTTCCACTTGATGATCCCTGTACCAGAAGACAAAACTCTCCAGTTTGTTGTTAAACATGGAAATCAGGAGATCCACATCTGCTATCCCCAACCTGCGACAAGTCCTGGAACACATCCAGGTTTAGGGAGTGCTCCCCTGGGTGAAGTTGCTATCAGAGGAGGTCTGCCCATCAGTTCTCTACCTTTCCATCTTTTACAACCCAAGCGTAAAGTTTTGCCCAGGACAGGATCAGGTCTACCTCTCTTGTCGTGTTAAGACCTGTTCCTCCCTGATGGTTCATGTAGCCCACTACCACGGCATTATTGGAATAAATCCTGATAAGATGACCTTCCCACAGGATAGTTAAATTCTGCAGAGACAGCCAAATTGCCCAAAGTTCCAGAATGTTGACTGGGAGATTACATTTCTCCAAAGACCAAGTCCAAAGCACTGACAAGGTGCCAGGACTTCTCTGCTAGGCATCTGTTGTGAGAATCCTCCAAAAGATGGAAAAGAAGGATTTCTGATTCCAGAGTCAAGGACAGCCGGCCAAGTGAAACAATCTGCTCAGAGAATGGATTGATCCTTGAGGACAGGGTGTTACCTAGTGGAAGTCAAGAGTTAAAAATTGGCAAGTGGCATGGTCTAGAACAATGGTCGGCAAGCCGCGGCTCGCGAGCCACATGCGGCTCTTTACACGCTTTAATGTGGCTCTTGTGTGCCAGGCGCCCGCTCCCCTCCCTCCTCTCGGGCGGCAGGGACTCTGCAGCGTGATCCAAAAAAAAAAAAAAAAAACAGCCAGGGCAGCGCGCTCAAATGCAATGATTGGCCAGTCTCGCTGCCACTCACATCCTGACAGCCAGTGATTGGCTGTCAGGATGTGTGTAGGCGGGGCAGCTTGACGAACGTGAGAGGAGCTAGGCTCCTCTCACAGTCCGCCCTGAAGACCGGAACGGCGCGGGAACACGGCGAGAGGAACGCGCGGAGCAAAGGTAAGTGAATTGACACAGGGGGGACTTGGCTTACTACTTGCTACTTACTTACTACTACTATATGAGGGATGAATTAATATGGGGGATGAATTACTATAGGGGGGATGAATTACTATATGGGGGATGAATTACTATATGGGGGATGAATTACTATAAAAACTTATTGAAACTAAAAAAACAGTGTACCATCCTATGTATTTTCAATTTTAAAAATGTGGCTCTCAAAATAAATTTCAATTGTGGTTTTGGCGAGATTTGGCTCAGTTGAAAAAAAAGGTTGCCCACCACTGGTCTAGAAGGAGGCTACCATCAGGTCTTTCACACAAAAGACTGGGTAAAGAAGACTTACACTGGTGAACTCTGATCAGAAATCAAAGATTCTTACAGTTCTCTTGTGAAAAAAAAAAATGACCGAGTCTTAACTAGGTCTAAACCCATATACCCCAAAATGATGCGTCGGGTTCCAGCACTGATCTACGAAATCCTCCCCAAAAGAGGTTTAAGGCTAATATGCTCTTGGGGGACCAAACAGCTATTCTCGGTGTTTCCAACTGCTGAAGAGAGAGAGTTGTAATGGCAGGTACAATGGAAAAGTCTTCAGCTTCTAAAGACTTAAGACAGGAAACAGCACTGGTAGAAACAGGCTGAAACCCTAAATAGGGTGGTGAGCACTGCATCAATAACAAGCAAAGCAATCTCTAAATTTGGGAGTAAAAAGCAGTGGACTGCAACTCCTCTTGTGCAAGCCATTAGTGAAAAATTTAAGCAACTTAGAATGAGAATCCCAGTGGCTAATTGATCAACATCCACCAAGGGCACAGGTAAACCATTTACCGGTAAACTGGGTGATTTGTGTCAAAGTCTTGCATCACTATACTAAAAACCTTAGCCAAAAGGGTAGAGGAAAAAGCCAAACTCAATAGAGGTAAAGAGGACATGAATGACAGAATAGACTAAGAGCAGAGGGCAACAGGATTCCAGGCTGCAGATGTTGACACCATCAGTAGGCGCACAGAGAGAAGCCCTGGAGCCATTAGCAGTGTGAGCTGGGGACATGATATAACATGACAATAAGGAAATGTAAGGCTCAGGATAAGGCCTCGGGTACTCACGAAACCCAGAGAGCTGGTAGCAGGTAACAGTCTGAAGGCCAGAGGTGACAAAAGCACAATACTCCACTCAACAGATTCCATCAGTACGGATGTCACTGCAAAACTGAAAGGAAAAGGGGAATCCTAAAATGTACTCAATGACCTAAGTACTTGAGGTAGCTCCTGATGCTGGACTCAGCTGGCTTACTCACAAAGTGAGTATTAAAAGACAGGGCAAGCTCTGAGGCGATGCCAGCGGCTCTGAACCTGGAAAGCGCTCTGAAGCCAACTTCCAGAACAGTCTAATGCACCCTACAAAACTCCTTGCCTGAAGCTTACATCCAGGCTATCCCTACAACATCCAGTCCAGTAGGCCCTGGAAACGGCACTTCAAAAGGCAAGCTTAGAATATCTTGCCAGGTGGCTACAATAAAAGACAAGCTCTAGTAGTGATGTAAAGAAGATTCTGGAACTGCTGTTAAGATTATAGAAAAACAAAAATCTTGAGGAGCAGAGTGAAGAAAACAAAACAAAAAAAAGCGCTAGCAAAAAAATAGTTTAGTGTTCCACACAGGGCTGTAATGACGATATCCACCCTCCTAGGACACCAGTAACAAAATACGGCATGCTTGTAGTAGGATGAGTTATCCCGGACTAGGCCTACAGTTTGTTTATTTTGCTTGCCAGTGTCCAATTCTCCTGTAAAGTGTAGTATAACCCAAAAAAGGCGAAAACTTCCTATGTCCATCAATGGAAAAGAAAGCAAATAGTGTACTAAAGAATGCATATACAAAATTGGTAATAAACTACTCACAGATTTGTTGTCATCATTGCTCGATGTAGGATCTTTGTAGCTGGAGCCTGGCAATGCAGGAAAATCCTCGTTGTGTATTGAGAAGTCCTGGGACTGCTCATTTGCTGGTTTTGTTACCATGCCAACTACAAAGGAGAGAATTAGAAAAGTTAAAATTTTTTAGTTCTGATACAAGTTTATAAGCTTCACTAATCCTGTGTTATAACTGTGAAAGCTACTGATGGACCTCACAGCAACTTAACCATGACCCAATCACACTAATCTGGCAACTGGCTGTCAACAGCTACTGCATGTGATTTATGTCCCGGGCAAGTTATTACACGACAGGGAATCAGGCACACAGGTTTGAAAAAAAAGGGACAATTTGGGACACTCCACCAGCATAAGGCACATGTGCAAACTGCTGGGTCAGAAAAAAAGATTTAGAAAACTATTGAGGAACATGTTTGCATTGCTTTGCAGCACAAAAAAGTGGACCAAATGATATTACGCTAGGAGGTCGTCAACATTATCAAATAATAAACTACAATAAATGTCAGCAGAAAATCATAAGTTCAAGATCCTTTTTAATTGTAAACTTTCTAAATTCTAAGGCATGCAACCAACAGTACAAGGCATAGAATACGAATATATAATATGGATTACCATAGGGAGCCCTTCCAGCCAAAGGATTTATTAAAGGTGTTGGGTTACCACTTCCTTCCCTTCTATTTCTATCTGCTAGTGCTGGAAAATCTGAAAGATCCAATCCCGTCACATTTTCACTTCCATCTGAAAATAGGTAAATGCATTGTTAGCAAAGACTACTAGAATATATAGAACATGACAAAATAAATATCTAATAGTATAGCTAGGTTTTAAAAAGGGAATCTGTCAGAAGAGAAGAAAGTGAATTGACAATGCTGACTTATTATTGAAAGTGCATGTGCTGTGGCTGTCATTCTTGTTTCCCTATTCAGCCTGTCACTGACCAGCGTGTGTGCGTGGGTTCCACATTTCTATACTGACAGGTTCCTTTGAACTCCTGACCAGTTGTGGATTCTGGGAGAACTAAACATGGCAGGCAAACCATTGAAATACGCAGGGTGTGTGTGCGAGTGGTCTCGAGAGAGAGTATGTGCGGTCTCGAGAGAGAGTATGTGTGGTCGTCCTCCTCTGCCACCTTCCACCCCCCTTGCTTGGCAGCAATACCAGACTGTGAAAACAGCCAGGAGTTGCTGCGTAAATACAGCAGCTGTAATAGCTGCTACAGAAAAAAAAAAAAAAAAGGAACCTCCTATAAAGTGGTAAATAACATTGTTACATTTTATTTACTCCGTTATACTCATCTGAAGAGGATGTCCATTACCAGCTGCATAACAAGTAAACAAAAAGAATACCACTAAAGCCCTGTACATACAGGCCGAATAGCGGTCGAAATCAGCCGGTACAGTAGATACCGGCTAACATTTGGCCCATGTGTACAGGTCCCCTTGATTGACGGAAGCTAAAATTTCACAGCCGACTTCTTTTGAGAAGCTAGCTGGAAAACCAAACAGCAGATTAGCATCCAATCAGCACTCGTAGCCAATGGTTCCCGTCAGAACACAATAGCTCAGCAAGGAGATCGCTGTACTAAGACCACATTGTTAGTACAACCTCCTGGAAAGCTCCTCGTTCAGCCTGCCGAACAAACCAGGAGGTTTTGGGTTTTTTTCCTCTTTTGAAGTTTTGTCACTTTTTTGCCTGCATTAAAAATGTATACATGGCAATCTCAGCACAAGAAAAATCACCATATGTGTTACTTTGTTATCTTAAACTTTGTCCATATCAGAAATGTAAATGTGCTCTGGTTCACAGGCGGTACACTACCCTCTACAGTGTAAGCTCTTACAATGACTTTTCTTGTCCATCTAGGAATAGTGGACTTGGAAGGAGGGTGTCTTTTGGAGACCCTGTTGGCAAGATGAAGAGAGTTCGTTTTCCGCACACAGGCTGTGGCTTTTAGAAAGAATTGTCCAGACAATGGACAGCATTTTCTCTGGGATGCTTAGGAGCAGGACAAAAAGGAAGGAAGGCCAAAACATTAATTTTGGTAGAAAGTAGATACCACTTCAGATAGAAAGGAGAGTCTAGGTTGTAAGACCACTTTGTCCTTGTGAAGAATTCGGGTTCTTTACAAGACAGCCAACTCTGAAACACATCTGACAGATGTGATAGCCAACAAGAAGGCCCCTTTGCAGGAGATATCATCCAGTGGAAGTCCTGTAATGGTGTCAAAGGGTGATTTCTGGAGGGCAGAGAGAATCAAATGGAGATCTCATAGCAGCAATTGTATTGCTCTGAGCTTCAAGATGTCAGTGGGGAGCTTTGCCTCCACAGGCAACCAGGTTTCCTGACATGTGAAACTGGGTCACTAGTCCACAGCCTGTAAGGCTGGAATCTACTGTTACCATCTCCCATGTGTGTGGGAGAACGACTATCCTTTCTAATGCAGGATTAGAAATCGACCCAGCTAGGAAGTTTCTTGTCTGAATGGATATAAGCAAAGGAAAGCAGAGAAATGGTGTGTGTTTGTTCCAGGCCAACAGAATATCGTGTTGGACAGGCCTTAACTGGAACTGAGCAAAGGGAAGATCCTCAAACGAGGCCTATGACCCTTATGAAGAATCTCACTGGAGGGATGTCAGCACGTCAAGAAAGAGAATGTAGAAGAAAGAAGCTCGTTTGCCGAAGGAAAACTTTTGCCTGGTCCATCACTAGAATGAGGCCCAAGTATTTAAGATGAAAGGAGGCCGGAAGGCCGGAGGACAGACTTTTAGAAATGGATTACCCAGCTGAAAGCCTGACAAACGTAACAGCACTTTGTATGTTTATAGACAGTTTTAAAGGAGATGAATCCCTCAGAAGAAAGTCGCCTTGGTATTCCAATCTAGATGCCTTGAGTTCTTAAGACGGCAAAAGTAGGGGGGACCAGCACCTTTGTGAATCCTTTGGGTGCAAAGAATAGGGCAAAAATCACAGGTACCCTGCGCTGCACCCACACTGGCCAATGTGTAAGAAGCGTACAAAAAAAATTTAAATAATTATATATATCTATATATATATTTTGTTTGTTTTTTTTTTTGCTATGTGGTTTTCATTACTTTCTAAAATTTTGTAATGCACTTTTTATTTTATATTCTGCTTACACAGTGCCGTGCTGTGCTGTTTTTGTGTCTTTTGTGCGCATTACCTGCGGTTTCCACACACCAAAACTGTGTGCAATGCACACACACAGTTGCGGGGTGGTTGTAGTTCAACCCCATTCACCTGGAGGTATACTTCCAGCTGCGGCAACAGCATGCGTATACCCCCAGCTGCTGTTTCTGCAGTTAAAGTGGGAGAAGTTGGGGGTAGTAAAAACAGCTCAATTGTGTGGTTTTACCACCCCCCAACCTCACAGGTGAACAGGCCCTTGGTTCACATCTGTGTGGCTGTGTGTAGGGCAGCCCATTCATTTCAATGGGCTGCCTTACCTGCAGAAATGCAGGGAAAGTCGTCCCTGACCTTAGTTTTAAAATTGCACCACACCAAAAACACCCCGCATTTGCCAATCTATGGGGGGTACCCCTAAAGAGCAGAGAATTTGTCTGCGTGTCAGGAATAAGCGCGATTTCACGTGCGTTCTGCGACACACAGTAACGTGAACCAAGCCCTGGACAGGGGTGCCTCGTGACTGAAAATACTTTTCAAGGGTGCCTCGACTGGAAAAAGGTTGAGAAACACTGGTCCAGGTACTCAGTGACATGGATGGCCTGAGTTAGTACTTGTGTGAAGACCCTTGAAGACAAGACAAATGTCTCCATCCAGTATTGCAAATGAGAATAGTTTTGAGTAAAACTCTATGAACCTTTCCTCTTCACAAACTGGGATGATCACTTCTTGCACCGCAATTTGACTCAGGACAGCACACACATCTGCCTTGATTTTGAGGTGAAGCTGGGAGATTACAGCTTAGGAACTGAGGAGGTGCAGGGATAGAAATTCTATTTTACAGTCCCTGGAAACAAACAGATTGGACCCAGAGGTCCAAGGTGTCCCTGATACCACACTAATGCAAATGCCTACAGACCATCACTCCAGAGAGTGAGGGTGCACCGAAACTGTGAAGAGAGATTCTGGGTAGACCTGGAGGATTTCCTAGTCCATGGCTTGTGAAGAAAGGATGGACCCGCTTTGGACCTAGAGGGCGATGTCTGGGTGGAACTAAAATGATCACTTTTGGTGGAAAGATACTAGCCATAGTAGTAGACCTAAGCAGTTCTTTATCAAGGAATTCACCAAAACAGGCATTCACCATCAAAAGACATACATAAAAGATTCCTTTTGAAAGCAGGTTCAGCCAACCAATCCTTTAACCACAAAATCCTGCAGAGAGCAGGCATCTTGGAAATCTGGTGAAGTAGATTCTATAGGGCATCAAAACAAAAGAGCATCACCAAGGGCATGAGCTGCAGCTGTTCCAGCAGAACATGGTCTTCAAACACATGATCTGATTGTGTTCATAATTTTTTTTTTTTGTCCAGTCAAATGAACAGCAGTCTGACAAATTGACAAAAACTGTTGGCCAGTTATAAGGCAAGACCAGCGAAAGCAAAAGGTTGTTTTCAATAGGATTTCCAAGTAGCTACAGACAGAATTGTTCAGCCTTTTCACTGCCAGAAGGTCTTTGCGTTTCTTGCACACATTTAAAAATACATTTTAGCACCAAAGATTGCGTAAAACTCCCCAAACAACATTTTCTGAAAGCAAACATAGTAGAGAATAAAATAGTGGGTATACCAATTTTTTAGGTTACATATTAGTGCAAAGGTTTAGGAAAGGCTAAAATTTCAGTAAAAAATACACTAAAGCCAATTTTAAGGCTCCCAAACACAATAAAATTACCCACTTTTTTTTAAGGGAAAAAAAGTAAATAAAAAGGAGGTTGTGCTGAGTAAATAGATGTCCAACCTTAAAATTGCATGTATCCATGAAATGGCGACAAACTTCAGCACTCTATATTTTCCATAGGGGATGCCTTAAAAGCCACTATAGGTCATTAGTTTAGAACTATGGAGAACTGGTGCTAAAAATTATTGCTTTCGCCCCAGTGTGTGCGGCGATATGAAATATGGGTATCTCAATCAACACTTTATTGCGAAGGCACCACGGATGCGTGTGTTTACGTTCGTACATACATGTATTGGGGGGGATGCTGCTTACAAATTTGGAGGGAGAAGGGGGGATTTTATGTGCTTGGGTGTAACTATTTTTTTACAATTCTTTATTTTTACTCAACTTTTTTTCTATCGTATAGGGGACAAAAAGTCCCTTATGAGAGGATTCTTTTGGTGACAGTTTTTTTTTTTAATATGTAAACAGGGGTCTCATCTGCTCTCCAATTAATCTGATGCAGTGCATCTGTCCCTGTGGGGTTTGGAAGCAACTGGATGGCTGCCCAGCCGCCATATCAATTTTGAAAGCCAGCTGTCGGCTTGTCAGATATACACACACTCCCAATGACTGCAGCCACCGGGAGGGTGTGCAAGACCCCCGTTGTCAGGTCTGTATGATGTACAAACCAGGCGGAAAAGGGTTAATGGTCACATCCTCAACCAGAACATTGAGGTGCTTGTTCAGAGCAGAAAAGGCAGGATCCATACAGAGACAGACCATTTTTTCATAAATTCCTTTTCCATAGGGTGCAACTAAGCAAAGAGTTTTGGAGGAAGATCCAAACATCAATCAAAGCACTGATTTCTTAGTGCAAATGAAGTCTTTCTAGAGTTCACCAGCCATTGAGTGCCCATAAGAGCTTGTTTAGGCTGAAGAGATTCAAGTGCTGCTAAGGCAAAGGCTAGTTTGCACCACATCAATAAGTGAGCCCACAGTATAAAGCATATGGCATTAAGCCTTAGCTTGTGTCTCATAACATGCAGGAGGTGAAAATGGTTTAGAAACTTCTCCATAGGAGAAGACGTCCACCACCTAAGGACACTAGCAAAAAAAAACTGTAGTCACACTAACATACCAGAAAGTACACTTCTATTTTTCAAGAGGAATTCAAGACAAAAAAGTCAATTTTTCTAGAGGTTTCCTAGAACATAGCTAATCTTCACTTTTTGAGTTCAGTTCCACTTTAAAAGGAAAAGAAATGCTGAATGTCAGGAATGAGTACTGGGAACATTAAACAAAATAAGGAGATGCAGTAAGGATTAGTCCTGCTAAGCAAAAAAAAAAAAAAAAGGTTCTTTGCCAATCTACCTACCTGGCAATAATACCCCTGCAGCTGCCTTGCCAGAAACTTGTTGTTCCTCATGTGATTCTGCTACTATGGTTTACCAGAGTGGTAAAAGAGGATGGTCCAAGCATACAAGCTTGTAAATATTCACACAAAGGGCTCATGTACACCAGATGGAGTCAAACATGTTTTTAAATGTGGTATAAAACGCATAAGCAAGAAAAATTGCAGTTGTTTCAAGGAGTCTAGTTTACAATAGTGTGGTGATTTTATGTGCATTTTATAAATTACAACATGCTGCATTTTTTTTTGCACATGAATGCACAGTAAAAAGGCAACTCAAAAATAAAGCCAAAAAACACACACCACAAATGCACCGCAGGCTCAAGTAAACTTGCATATGGAATGTGAGAACTACAGTGTAAACAAGCCCTAACCCTCTCTGGCACCACAAATTTGAGGCATTACAAAAACAGACAAACTGCAATTCCAAAAGCAGCCTGCGCTATTATTGCTGAAATACATATTTAAAACTACCCAAATGTTTGGAGGTTACACTTTGTGCCTCCTCCAACATCTGTCACCCTACCATCAACCATTAGGAACATTCCCGTACCGTTTATGGCCAACACTAGCAACTCCAGTACCACCAAGTGCGCTTTTATCTCTCAGCGACATTTTGTTTTCTACTCTGAAGTGTAAAGTCCAGTTCTACAGTTTGTCTCTGGTACTTGACTTTATTCTTGGCATACAATGTAACTGTGCACATGTGACCAAACAGCTGAAGAGGAGCGCTGCAAGTGCACAAAGCAGTGACAAGATCCTGGACCCATACAGTACAACAGGAGGCAGGTGTGTGCCATGATCTACAAGTATGCTGTGCAGATTAGAGCAAAAGCTTACACCTCCACCAAGATTACTTTTCTTTAAAATCTGGAATTATCTTCCTTACTACATCCAAGATGAATGTTTTTTCTACAGCAAGATGAACTCTAAATCCTGAAAATAGTTCAATAGCAGGCTTGTCTGGACACAAATTGTTAAGCCCTTTAATAACCAATAATGCAATTATTGTGCAATTCACTAGAGAATGACTGATTTTTATTTACCTTCTCAGATTTTCAATTACAAAGTTAGACAAATTATGCCTATAATTAAATCAGTTGCTACCCAAGATGGAAGCTTAAACATTTAATCTCATCAGAAACTATTTCTAGCTTAATCTACAGATGAGAACATTTGATGTTTTAATTATATATTATTGTAATCATCACTGTGGGTAACATTTAATTTAGACTTTTACAACGATCATGAGAAAAGTCTGAATGAACAATCCCAGACTTCAGTTAAATAGACAAAACTCTTACCTGTTCCATTAAAAATGTTACTCGATAAAGAATTGTTCAGACCAAACGCCTGATTTCTGTTCATGCCAAACCCAGACATACTGTGTGATCAGAGAAAGAAGAGTCAGTGTTCAAGTCATAAAAACATCTTTACAGCTGAACGCCGAGAACAAAAAACACATTTAAAAATATTACTCAACAGCCACAAAAGGAAATATGTTTTGTGTGTACCACGTGCATTTACAAATCCAGTTATTACCTTGTAAAAGTAGCAATTACATCACTGGATGTACATCACCTGTGAAAAGGAAGAACCACCCACAACCAGCTGCCTGCAGAAAACTACAGGCGAGGGGGTGGGTACAAGACCAGTCACCCTGCACTCTGGAGAAATTACAACCAATCTGTAATTACAGAAAAGTCCAGCTTAAGGGCAAAGTGCAGGTGTTGCTTCATATTGAATTACTGCACAGATCTTAAAGAATACACAAAGTACACCAAGGTTTTAAAGTGGTTGTAAAGGCTGAAGGTTTTTTACCTTCATACATTCAATGCATGAAGGTTAAAAAAAACAAAAAAAAAAAAAAAAAAAAACACACCTGTGTGTGTTTTGCCCACAGCACCCTCCCCTTCCCACTCCCAAATACTCACCTGAGCCCCACCATCAATCCAGCGATGTGCACAAGAACCTCGGCTGTCCTGGGTCTCTTTCTCCTCATAGGCTGAGACAGCAGCAGGAGTCATTGGCTTCCACTGCTGTCAATCACAGCCAGTGAGCAAATAAGGAGAGTGGTGGGTGGGGCCAACCACAGCTCTACGTATCCTATGAATGCATAGAGCGGGGCTCGAGAGTGATTACGTATCAGTGCCCCCATAGCAAGCAGCTTGCTATTGGAGGCACTGGTCAAGCAGGTGAAGCCAGGAGCGCTGGCGGGGGACCCAACAAGAGGATCGAAGCTGCTCTGTGCAAAAACCATTGCATGGAGTACGTAATGTTTTTGTTTTTTATAAATAACAAAAAAAAAAAGCTTTAATATCCCTTTAAAAGTGACACTATGGCAAAAATCAAGAATGTCATATCATATGTTTGTCGCCAGCATTAAAATAGCAGTCTTTGCTTCTCAGTCACCGCCCCCCAACAGTTTATTACTTGGTGATGCAGCCAGTAAGTCTGCTGTTTTTCAACTTCTTTTAAAGTGGTTGTAAACCCTTACATACACCCAGTGAAGTGATAAGCCTCAGGTGATACACCGAGATTAAACAAATCCTCCTACATGAGTTGTACCTGTTTGTTTATCTGCATCTTCTCTACAGCCCTTTGAAGTACAGAATTTATACAGGTAGTTGAAGCTTTCAGAAAGCAGGGGGTGGGGAGCTGGAACCACACAAAGCAGAGTTCAGTGAGGGAGTGCTGAGTGCTAATTGAAGTTGAGGGAGGGGAAGGGAAGGGACAACCCCCCCCCCCCCTTCACATAGTACATAGGAACAGAGCTGAGGCTGTATTAGAGGTCCCTTCCCTGTCACTTTTTTTTTTTTTTTTTTTTGGAGTCAGGAAAACATGTCAGAAGTGACTTATGCGGATAGCGGCTGATAGCAGTGGAGTGAGGCTGCAGACAGAAGTTACACCTAGTGCTCAGGACTGAAGTACACACTATGAAACAATAAGTTTTGTTAATATTTTATGTCAGAGGTTTACAACCACTAACAGATCAAGATGTCCAGAAAAAGTGGCAGTTAGAGGGGTTGAGACAAACCCTTTAAAGCTGAACTAAAGTACCACTTTCAAAAAACTGAGCAGGCAGGCTCTTTATTGCAGAAGAGACAAGAAATGTCTTCACTGCAATAAAAAAAAAAAAAAAACCTACCTGCCTACTCGCTGTCCTGTCTTCTTGAACATACACCAAGGTGTCCAAGCACAGCTCCATTTACATTACAGCACAGACCCTGTGTGACAGGATGTGCAGGAGTGACATCATCCCAGGCCAGCCAATGATGGGAGCAGCTCCAGAAGATGATTGAAGATGGCAGAAGATGACAACGCCACTAAGGGAGGTTGGACCACTGAAGGAAAGCCAAGCATTACAGTGTTTGGTTTTACTTTATCACAGGCAGGGGTGCTTACAATGGTCAGCTTTTATTCATACATACAATACCTTTTTCCAAGAAATTCCTACATCACTGGTAAAGTAAATTTCTAGCATTCTTGTCTATAAAACATGCACCCAAAAAAACCCCAACACATACAATACATTGAAAGAATATATATGCTCCCCGAGTGTATGTCTTCTTCATTGGCACAGTTCTAGAAATGCTTACCTGTTCACAGTAAAAGGTTGTCGGGATGGCGGTTGCTTTGGCATACATATTATGCTGGGTGAGCTTCTGTTTGGACTGCCTAACCCTGAACTGCTCATATTATTTGTCCTGCTTGGCATCCCAATGCCCTGTCCAACCTGGGAGTGGTTCATCATATTCCTGGGATTCATCGGTAAAATGCCCCTATAAGGAAAAAAAAAAAAAAAAGTTCTTGCATGTTAATATGCCCTGTACTGAAGTGCTAGCATATACACTGCTCAAAAAAAATTAAAAGGAACACTTTGAAGACACATCAGATCTCAATGGGGAAAAATATAATTCTGGATATATCTATTGATATGGACTGGGTAATGCGTTAGGAATGTAAGGATGCCCCATCATCATTTGATGGAAATGAAAATTAATCAACCTACAGAGGATTGAACTCAAAGACACCCTGAAAATCAAGGTGAAAAAATTATGCGGCAGGCTGGTACATTTTGCTGAGATTTCATTGCAGCAACTCAAAAAATGGTACTCAGTAGTTTGTATGGCCCCACGTGCTTGTATGTATGCCTGACAACGTTGGGGCATGCTCCTAATGAGATGACTGATGGTGTCCTGGGGTATTTCCTCCCAGATCGGGACCAGGGCATCACTGAGCTCTTGGACAGTCTGAAGTGAAACCTGGTGGCTTCAGATGGACCGAAACATGATATCCCAAAGGTGTGTCTATTGGATTTAGGTCAGGCGAGCGTGGGGGCCATTCAATGGTATCAATGCCTTCATCCTCCAAGAACGGCCTGCATTCTCTCGTCACATGAGGCCGGACATTGTCGTGCACCAGGAGGAATCCAGGACCCACTGCACCAGCGTAGGGTCTAACAATGGGTCCAAGGATTTCATCCCCATACCGAATGGCAGTCAGGGTGCCATTGTCTGGCCTGTAGAGGTCTGTGCGTCCCTCCATGTATATGCCTCCCCAGACTATCACTGACCCACCACCAGAACGGTCATGCTGATTAATGTTACAGGCAGCATAACTTCTCCACGGCTTCTCCAGACCGTTTCACGTCTGTCACATGTGCTCAGGGTGAACCTGCTCATCTGTGAAAAGCAAAAAGGGCACCAGTGGCGGACCTGCCAATTCTGGTGTTCAATGGCAAATGCCAATCGAGCTCTATGGTGCCGGACAGTGAGAACATTGCCCACTAGAGAACGTCGGGCCCTCAGACCACCCTCGTTTAGTTTGTTTCTGATGGTTTGGTCAGAGACATTCATACCAGTGGCCTGCTGGAGGTCATTTTTTTAGGGCTCTGGCAGTGCTCATCCTGTTCCTCCTTGCACAAAGGAGCAGATACCGGTCCTGTTGATGGGTTAAGGACCTTCTACGGCCCGGTCCAGCTCTCCTAGAGTAACTGCATGTCTCCTGGAATCTCCTCCATGCTCTTGAGACTGTGCTGGGATACACAGCAAACCTTCTGGCAATGGTACGTATTGATGTACCATCCTGGAGGAGTTGGACTGCCTGTGCAACCTCTGTAGGGTCCAGGTATCATCTCATGCTACCAGTAGCCAAATGCAAAACTAGTGAAAAATAGTCAGAAAAGATGGGGAGTAGGAAAAAAAGGTCAGTGGCCTCCACCTGTGAAACCGTTCCTGTTTTGAGGGTCATCTCATTGTTCCCATCTAGTGCACCTGTTAACGTCATTAACACCAAAGCAGCTGAACTGATTAACAACTCCCTCTGCTACTTAACTGACCAGATAAATATCCCAGGAGTGTAATCAAATTGATGCTATACTCTGATTAAAAGGGTTCCTTTAATTTTTTTGAGCATTGTATATCTACATCCATTTCAAAACTACACAATGTATATAGAACTCACCAGCTAAGTACTATATTCAGAAGAAAATGGAAATCAGGAACAAGGAGCTCACACATATATAAAGATCTGCACTTGAGACTTTTTTTGTATGGACAAAAATTAATTTAGCTTTTCTCAACCGGGCTGCAGCTTGACAGCAAGGTATTTGCAGAACGAGCACTTATGGCTGGCATTGACTGATTTTCCTCTACTAGACTGCAGCTCGACAGCTAATGCAGTCATAGTCTCTGCTGTTTATTTACAATCTATGTGCTCACCTGGTAGGTGACACCTACCTCACAGGATGCTACACAGAGCAAGACACTGCTTGAAAGGAACACAAACTCCTCTCATAGCATCAGCTTACACTGCTCACAATGCAATATGGGCAACTCAGTTTATAACGCCACAATTTTTTCACTTGTTAAGGTAGAATTCCAGCTTCAACCCAACTAGTTTTAAAAGGATAAATTCATCGGTTTTTGTTTTTTTTTAACCACTTGCCCTCCAGAAGATTTACCCCCCTTCCCGACCAGGCCATTTTTTGTGATACTGCACTGCGTTACTATAACTGACAATTGCACGGTCATGTAATGCTGCACCCAAATTAAATTTTTGTCTTTTTCCCCCCACAAGTAGAGCTTTCTTCCAATTTCCCATCAGTATTTGATCACCTGTGTGTTTTTTAATTTTCTGCGCTATAAAAAAAAGAGCGACAATTTTGAAAAACAAAAATATTTTTGACTTTTTGGTAAAAAAAACATATCCAGTAAAAAAAAAAACAAAAAAAACAAATTTAGTCATAAATTTAGGCCAAAATGTATTCTGTTACATGTCTTTGCTAAAAAAAAAAATCCCAATACGTGTAAATTAATTGGTTTACGTGAAAGTTATAGCATTTACAAATGGCAGTAGATACAGTTGTGACCAAAATTATTCAACCCCCACTGAAATTGAGTGTTTTTGGCCAGTTTGACATTGCTTTTGATCATTCAGTCATCTTGCTTACATTTACATTAAAGAGGCACTTGTAGGTCAGACAAATATAACATAACAGTTATAATGAAATAACCACAAATGTCTTTTCTGTGCTCACAGCATTATCAGTTTTATTCAACCCCCAAGTGACATTCAATCTTAGTACTTAGTACAGCATCCTTTTACAGTTATAACAGCTTTTAAACGTGAAGCATAGCTTGACACAAGTGTCTTGCAGCGATCTACGGGTATCTTCGCCCATTCTTCATGGGCAAAGGCCTCCAGTTCAGTCACATTCTTAGGCTTGCGCACTGCAACTGCTTTCTTTAAGTCCCACCAGAGGTTCTCAATCGGATTTAAGTCTGGTGACTGCGATGGCCACTCCAAAATGTTCCAGCCTTTCCTCTGCCCATGCTCTAGTGGACTTGGAGGTATGCTTGGGATCATTGTCCTGTTGAAAGGTCCAACGTCTCCCAAGCCTCAGGTGTGTGACGGACTGCATCACGTTTCCATCCAATATCTCCTGGTACTGAAGAGAATTCATGGTACCCTTGCACACGCTGAAGCTTCCCTGTACCTGCAGAAGCAAAACAGCCCCAAAGCATGATTGACCCTCCACCATGCTTCACAGTAGGCAAGGTGTTCTTTTCATCATAGGCCTTGTTCTTCCTCCCCAAACATAGCGTTGATCCATGGGCCCAAACAGTTCTAATTTTGTTTCATCAGTCCACAGAACACTATCCCACAACTTTTGTGGTTTGTCCACATGGCTTTTGGCATACTGCAGTCGACTCTTCTTATTCTTTGGAGACAGCAAGGGGGTACGCCTGGGAGTTCTGGCACGGAGGCCTTCATTACGCAGTGTGCGTCTTATTGTCTGGGCTGAAACTTCTGTACCCACATCTGACAAATCTTTTCTCAGTTCCTCAGCAGTCACACGGGGACTTCTCTCCACTCTACGCTTCAGGTAGCGCACAGCAGTCGAAGTCAGCATCTTCTTTCTGCCACGACCAGGTAGCGTTTCAACAGTGCCCTTTGCCTTGAATTTGCGAATGATGCTTCCTAAGGTGTCTCTTGGTATGTTTAACATCTTTGCAATCTTCTTATAGCCATTGCCCTTCCTGTGAAGAGAAATCACCTCTTCTCTTGTCTTCCTGGACCATTCTCTTGCCTTCACCATGTTTGTAACCACACCAGTAAATGTCTAGAAGGAGCTGAGTATCACAGTCATTTTAAAGCTGCCTAATTGGTGCTTATTATGCTTGATTGCTGCTCGGTGACATCCACAGGTGTTTTCAATACCTGATGGAAAGCACCTGTATGAACCCTCTGTTCTTCAGAGTGGTAGTCTTTAAGGGGTTGAATAATTGTGGCAATGAAGAAACCACATAAGAACCATTTACTACTGTATTACATAAACAATTGATGTCATTTTAGTTGCATTTGGGTAGTTACAACGTCCTTGTAGGATTTGATTCTGAATACAATTCCAAATGTACACTATAGTCCCTAAACCCCTTTACAGCATTGGGGGTTGAATAATTTTGGTCACAACTGTATACTGGGAAACATGCTGCTGTGTATTTCTCTGTAGAGAAATACACAGCAGCATGTTGTTGCTTGGAGGAGAGGAACCTGTGTTTACTCTCCTGTCAGTGTTACTTGGTGATCACCTGGTGCCAGCAGAGAACCACTGTCCAGGACCTGGTGATTGACATCTGTAGCCACCAATGGTGGCACAGGTGGGGCAGCGCGCCCGCCCCCTACCCGGAAATGCAAATCACGTATATATACACACACGAATATGCACAGCCCTGCCACCCTGTAGCAGTATTTCTGCTTTAGGGCGGTAGGCAACTGGTTAATAGATGCATATCTTTTTTGAAGGGGGGGAAAAAAAAAGAGTATATTGTTTAATTTTTTAATTAGGGGACTGTAAAGAATTGCAATGCAGGGCTCTGGCAGGCTGTCCACCCATACATCGTACGGGCAGGCAGTTACACACTGACAGGAAGCATCAATGAACTACCTAGAGCGTTCAGTAGCGCCCTGGTAGTTCATTGAAAACTATATGCCGACAGTTGTAAAGGCTGTTCGTACTTCTGGTTCAATTTTTCAAAGAACTCTGCATGAATGACATGGATGTGTGGACAGAGTCCCGCATGAGAAAGAAGAGAGAGAGAGATTGGCAACAGCTGGGAATGGCTGGGAGCAGTGACATCACCCATAGACTCCCATGTCCCAGCCATTGCTGGAGCTCCCTCCTTCCCGTGCAGCAGCCACTGGCTTACACAAGGGAGCAAAATCACATGACTGGACCAGAGAAGGTTGAAAAGTAAATACATTTTTTTTTTTTTTTTTTTAACACAGGTTAGCCAGCAAAAAAAGTCTTAGGAGGGAGAGCGGACATTTTTAAGACTAGTTAGGTTTAGGCTGGAACTCTACTTTAACTACTTCCCACCCGTATGTACCCGTACGTCCTCTAATTGAGTTGATAATAACAGGGCCATAGCTGCAGCTGCAGTCAAGACCTTGGTATCTCTTTCAGCTGGCGATGTCCTTGAATATTTAAGCAATTCTAGCAGTCAACTAGCCGCTGGATCACTTTTACATGTGGCAGTGTAATTTCTTAAAAAAAAATACTGCTGGGCAAATGCCGTGTGACAAAAAAAAACTGCAACACCCACCATTAAAAACTACTACTAAAAACATAAAATGCTTCAGGGAGTTGGAGTGCATTAGAAAAACTGTTGTAGGAAAAATGTGCTTCAGCATGGATGTTAATGTGCCTTCAGCCCCCACTCAGAGCATAATTAAAAAATTGTGTTGTCTCACACACACACACACCCACACACACACACGGGTACACCCCAATAAATTTGTCGGAAAAACCTTTCCTTTCAGAATCAATATTTTCTATGGGACACTATACTACAAAAAATACTCCCACCAATGCAGGCTATTGATTGCAAGCAAAATGTTAATTTGCCCTAACAAAAAAGTATTTTTCCTAACAAATGCATTCAAGACCATATTGCAAAAATGAATACACCCCAATGAAAGTCAAAAGGCATACATTATACAATTTTCTTGAGAAATTTGCTTTAGATTTACCAAAAACCATATATGAGCTCAAACCTAAACAACACTTTCAATTGTATCCAATTAGGCAGGCCTGTGCATTACATAGCTGAAGGTAAATCTAAAGGAGATTGGGCAGAAATTGGGACAGAAAATTGTATAGCGTATGGCCAGCCTTTGCAGCAAAGCCAAATTGTAGACAACAAAACCTTAATTAACAAGAATTCAAGTACAGGCGAGTCTAATTATTCATTAAACAGGTGTAGCAGACAGCTGATTATAAAGGGTGTTACTTGACAAAGAAAACCCCTTCTCATTTCATGCTGTCAGCAATGGCACCACATGGAAGAGAAATGTCACATGGCCTGAGAAAGAAAATAATTTCTTTACACAAGAAAGGTGAAGGCTACAAGAAGATCAGCAAAAAACTACTTATCAGTCAGAATACTGTAGGAAAAGTGATACACGGGTGTGGAAATTTTTGAAAAAACTATTTGTCCATGGACTAAATTGGTGTCCCAATTTTAACCAAGGTTCTTTATGGAATGTCTTGGGGCTTTTAAAACCGAAAGGGGCTTTATGGCGACTTAAAACACCACTGCACCTGGGGACTAGCAGGGAGGGGAGAGACCTTGCAGTGTAATGAGCATCGACTGGCTGCTCATCAGGAAAGGGGGCTGTTGGGCTTATCCTTTATCCCTTTCGCTGCCAGAGCTATTCTTGCTTTTTTTTCCACACGTTTTAAAAAAAAAAAAAAAAAAAAAAAAAAAAAAACATTTAAGGCCTGAAGATTACACAAAACTCCAAAACATTATATATTTTCTGAAATCAGAGACCCTAGAGAATAAAATAGCTCCAATTTTTTATGTCACACGATATTATCACAAAGGTATTTTGTAAAATATAAAAAGACGAGGTTGCATTGAGTAAATAGATATCCAACATGGCAAACCTTAAAATTTGCATCACTCTCCATCCAGCATCCAGGCTCTGAAAGAGGTTGTTCTTAAAGTGGAATTCCAGTCAGTTGTTTATTAAAAGTCACCAGCTACAAGAACTATAGCTGCTGACTTAATACACACTCACCTGGTCCCAGGGTCCACCGATATGCTCACCCGAGCCGTCCCTTCTCTGCCTCTTCTTTTCCCAGCATCACAACTGTGGGTACCAGGCTGTGACAGCTTGTGACTTCACAGTTGGGTGTCCACTGTGCATGCGCGAGTCACACTGCACACATTCTCATTGGTCTGGCAGTCTTCTGGGACCTGTGAAGGTTCCCAGGAGACTGCAGGAGGAAGGAGGAGGCCGAACTTCCAGCTCACTTCACTGTGGCGAACTGAGCCGGCAGTGGGAGAAGGTACCGGTCAAAAGTTACCTCCCCCCCCAAAAGGTGGCAAATATGGCAGTGGAGGGGGGTTGGCAAATAAGCGGAGCTTCTGCTTTTGAGTAGAACTCAGTCTTAAAAGAATGGAAAAAGATAAGACGTTGCCAACTTGTTAATTCCATGCTTAGAAGACGTGGTACTGTCCTTACAAATCAAGGAGGTCATACAAAATACTAGATGTAGTTTTTGTCGTGGGGTGTATTAATTTTCTCATCAACTAATTTGAGTAAAACTGAAGATTCTGTTATCGAAGTTATATTAACCTTACTTTCATGTAATGAGCTAAAAAAAAAGTTCTAGAAAACTCAAGTTGTGTCAAAATATTGGAAATTGTTCTTGTGTTCATTAAGACATTGATTAAAAATCTTACTTTTTAAAAAAAGGGGATAGATATACACACACACACACACACACACACACACACACACACTTTATAAATATTTTACTATATCATTTCATGTGACAACACTGAAGAAATTACACTTTGCTACAATGTAAAGTAGTGAGTGTACAGCTTGTATAACAGTGTGAATTTGCTGTCCCCTCAGAATAACTCAACACACAGCCATTAATGTCTAAACCACTGAAAACAAAAGTGAGTACACCTCTAAGTGAAAATGTCCAAATTGGGCCTGAAGTGTCAATATTTTGTGTGGCCACTATTAATTTCCAGCATTGCGTTAACCCTCTTGGGCATGGAGTTCACCAGAGCTTCACAGGTTGCCACTGGAGTCCTCTTCCACTCCTCCATGACGACATCACGGAGCTGGAGGATGTTAGAGACCTTGCGCTCCTCCACCTTCCGCTTGAGGATGCCCCACAGATACTCAATAGGGTTTAGGTCTGGAGACATGCTTGGCCAGTCCATCAGCTTTACCCTCAGCTTCTATAGCAAGGCAGTGGTCATCTTGGAGGTGTGTTTGGGGTCGTTATGTTGGAATACTGGCTTGCGGCTCAGTCTCCGATGGGAGAGGATCATGCTCCGCTTTAGTATGTCACAGTACATGTTGGCATTCATGGTTCCCTCAATGAACTGTAGCTCCCCAGTGCCAGCAGCACTCATGCAGCCCCAGACCATGACACTCCCACCACCATGCTTGACTGTAGGCAAGACACACTTGTCTTTGTACTCCTCACCTGGTTGCCCCAACACACGCTTGACATCATCTGAACCAAATAAGTTCATCTTGGTCTCATCAGACCACAGGACGTAGTTCCAGTAATCCATGTCCTTAGTCTGCTTGTCTTCAGCAAACTGTTTGCGGGCTTTCTTGTGCATCATCTTTAGAAGAGGATTCCTTCTGGGATGACAGCCAAGCAGAGCAATTTGATGCACTGTGCGGCGTATGGTCTGAAAATTGACAGGCTGACCCCCCACCCCTTCAAACTCTGCAGCAATGCTGGCAGCACTCATACGTCTATTTTCCAAAGACAACCTCTGGATATGACGCTGAGCACGTGCACTCAACTTCTTGGTTGGTCGACCATGGCGAGGCCTGTACTGAGTGGAACCTAACCTGTTAAACTGCTGTATGGTCTTGTCCACTGTGCTGCAGCTCAGTTTCAGGGTCTTGGCAACCTTCTTATAGCCTAGGCCATCTTTATGTAGAGCAACAATTCTTTTTTTTCCAGATCCTCAGAGAGTTCTTTGCCATGAGGTGCCATATTGAAATTCCAGTATGAGTGAGAGCGATAACACCAAATTTAAACATGCCTGCTCCCCATTCACACCTAAGACCTTGTAACACTAACAAGTCTACATGACACCAGGGAGGGAAAATGGCCAATTGGACCCAATTTGGACATTTTCACTTAGGGGTGTACTTACTTTTGTTGCCAGCATTTTAGACATTAATGGCTGTGTGTCGAGTTATTTTGGGGGGACAGCAATTTTTCACTGTTCTACAAGCTAAATATTTACAAAAATGTGAGGGGTGTACTAACTTCTGTGAGATACTGTACACACACACACACACACTATATGGCCAAAAGTATTGCATCAGATTGCCAGACAGAAGCGTGATTCGTCACTCTAGAGAACACGCCTCCACTGCTCTAGAGTCCAATGGCAGCGTGCTTTACACCACTGCATCTGATGCTTTGCACCACTGCATCTGATGCTTTGCATTGCACTTGGTGATGTAAGACTTGGATGCAGCTGCTCGGCCATGGAAACCCATTCCATGAAGCTCTCTATGCACTGTTGTGCTAATCAATCTCTCTCTCTCTCTCTCTCGCTCTCTCTCTATTTTGCATTTTCACACTTTTATTCCAGGAGTATAAACATGGAAGCCATTTGAAAGAAATTTGCCAGGCCCTGCTCTCACAAAGATTGCAAACCAATCCTTAGTTTATCTATAATGATCTTTAGTTTGGATTGCCTGGTTCTACAACGCATTACCCGCTTCATTGGTTGATATTTTAGATCTTTACACAGGATTTGAAGAATAAGAATACACTCTGATTATAAAATACTACATTTTTATCAGTACCTGCTCGGAGATGGTGGTGTATGAAGTGACATTGTTGGTACCCCTGTGGTTGGCGTTACATGGTTTGGTAACTGAGTGCCTTGTGATAAGCTGCGATTTAGCTGAGGAGTATTGTTGCTCATCCCCCTCATTGGAAGGCCTAGTGCACCTGTAGAAACATACAAAAGGAACATAACTCAAATATCTTATACAAATACAACTGTCACATGGTTTCTGCAGTTAAAAGTTTAAAACTGATGCATACATGCCTTCAGCTTTTCCTAAAGACTGTCATATTTAGTAATACGGAAGATAGACAACAAGATAGTCAAATACAAAATCGCTGGAGGGATTTGTGGAATTGACATCAAGAACATATTCACGTTCACAAACTAATTAAAATTGTATTACATTTAGATATCCAGAGACAGAAATAAAATGTACCCTGGGGATTTGACAAAGCAAATGCAGAGTAAAGATCCTAGTTCAGATCTTTAACGCAGGCCATACACATATCATTCCAAGAATTTCACAAAATAACCTTTTTAATGCTCTGATTGAATGTAGAACATATCGATAATTTTCCACTAGCACTGCAACAAATTTTAAAGGATTGAGAGCTGATGATAAATACAGCCTGAATGGTTGAAAAATTCACAAAGTGATTGCGAGAGATATGGTGCCATCGATGAACTCTGAAACATTTATACTGCTTTTTTTTTTTTTTTTTTTTTTTTTTTTACTTTTGACAATTTAAAAGAAATTTGACAAACAAAATTTACTGATAATTGAGAGTTAGGAATTCTGACCCAGTTAAAACAGTTTTCTGTTAAATATTGCCGTATATGAGATCATGCTATTTACTGGTAACCAAAAGAACAATGACAGATGTAGAGTGAAGCAGAGACGTTAAAAGTGTTACTAAACCCAGGATCCTGCATTCACTATATTTGGTCTCCCACAGTACACAGAACATGGAAATGCAATTATTGTAGTAAATATAAACTGCTAAATACCTTTTCTCATCAGCAGTTACAGCAGTCTTGTGACTTCTATCAGTGTCCAGCCGAGCATATGTTAAAGCTTGTAGTTTTCATTCTGCTCTAGGAAGATGTACGACCCCTGACCCTCTGTCTGGACAGTGCTGATTGGCCCTGTGCTGATCACATGCACTCTCCCAAGAAAAATAAAAAAACCTCTAGAAATATACACCAAACTGAGCATGTGCAGAGAGACTCCACACGATAGGAGATAAGAGGGGGACACTGGAAGAAGGGGAGGATCAGAGAAGTCAGGATCATACAGCGTTTTTACACAATGCAGAGGATTAACCTCGTAGGTTCCACAGTGAGCATAACCAGCATGCTTTACTGCATATACAGACTGATTTTACTGTTGTGGGTTTAGTAACACTTTAAGCAGTTATACTGCACATTGTAGAGCTCTCTAGAATCTGTATTTATAAATCACCCTTAGCAACTAAAAAATGATAAATAGAACATGGGGAAGGGGCTAGTACAGATAATACAATACATTAGAGGTTTCAAAGAGCAACTACATAGAATTGTTTAGCACAATGTAACAATAGGAGGGCCCTACCCGTATCAGCTTTCAAGAAAAGCGAACAAGCTGTATATGATGATAGTTTGTACCTTGCCAGAAGAGAAGTCATAAACCAACAAGAATGACTTAATGAAGCTCAGATTCTATGTGTGTCTAAAGAGGTAGAGTGAGCTTATAAAGACACCATCACTTTGTTTAAATGGGCAGAATATCAGTGTCTTCTTAACTGCAAGGTGACAGCGTCTCTCTAAAGTTTCAAGAGTTGGAGAGTATTGAACTACAGGTGGGAGAAGATCATGAGATTACCTCAGATATGGAAGTCTAAGTAGGTGGAAAACAGAAGGTTATATTCAGTGGGGGCAGAGTTTGGTATATCATCTGAAATTATCTTATATATGGATGGGCCAGATGTAAATATATTTTTTATAGGTTAGAATTAGAAGTTTGAACTGAACTTAGAGAAGTTGGCAGCTAGTGCAGGTAGTTACTGAAAAAAGAAGCACAGGAGGAGTAACTAAGGCAGATGAGTAACTGAGTAACTAAGGCAGATGAGTCCAGCAGAGTCCTACAAAAGTCATATAAGACCCTTCACCAGCATTGTAGCTGGATCATATGTAAGGAAGGTATGGATATGAAATATTCTTTTAAGTCATAGATGGCAGGAGGTGGTTTGTGAGCAATGTGATGTTTACATGACAGCCCAGAACCAATTACAGCCCCAAAGCAATAACTGAAGAAATTAAATCACAACGGGGTTATCAATATTGCTATTCAAGGTAGAGTTTAGTAAAATTGCAACAAGATTGTACAAGCTTGGTTTTAACCCTTTAGGGAAGTGAAACAACGATAAAAAAGAAACAGCAAATAGACAAAACAGGATACAGTAGGGAAGTGAGAGTGGAAGCAGAAAAATACATGAGGGTTTTTTTTTTCCCCATACGAAGAAATGCCATACCATGGGTTTAAAAGAAAAGTATGGCCACAGCCATTTATCGCTATGCTTACTTTTGCACTTCTGTGACACACAATCAGCCACCAATGTGCTAAAGTCCACTGTCAGCTGCAGCTAAGAGTATGTAGGTTTGTTTTTCTTTAGAACGTCAAACTTCCCCTTTAAATGACAAACAAAAGGGGGCTAAATATGGAACATTATGTGACCTGTTAGGTTGCTTTTGACGCCAAAGTAGGGGTGAAAGCATTTCCCTGTGTCCCAGAGTATGGGAGTGCAGGCTTGTTCTAATACCAATCCAGGGGGCTTGTAAATGTAAAAAAGATCGCCGCTACTCCCAACCAGACCAGGTGAATAAATCAAAGAGCAGCCTCAGCCTACACCAAACCACACACCCTGATGCATTTCGCCCCACCCAGTGGGGTATAGTCATAGGAACAGCTATAGCAGAGAAGCAACATGCACCAGGTATTATAGAGTGAGTTACAAATGTTATTTGTTCCTCTTTATGTTTATCTTTGCACTAAGGATGTGTGTGAGAGTGCTTCATGAATTGTTTATAGATTTAGGAATTTAGCACTTATAGGTGGTACTGTAAGACATACACCGATTATTATGAAGAAATTATTCATTCAATGAATGCTTGGAAAAAAAAAAAAACAAAAAAACAAAAAACATAAAAAAAAAATATAATAAAAAAAAAAAAAATAACCCACACAACTTACTTTGTTGCCCGTATAAACTAGCCCCAAATTGGGACAACTGACCCGACGCGGATGGTGATGGTGATGCCAGCATCTAAAAAGCAAGAACAGAGGGGGAAGAGAGAGAGAGAAAAAAAAAAAAGTAGGGGGAGAAAAAAAATAAATGAGTGAGGGAACGAGAACACAAATCATCAGCAATTTTCTAAAATATTATATAACACACAATAGGAAACACATTCTAAATACTAATAATTTTATGTATAGTTTATATCAACCTAAAAACTGAAGCATTAAAACAAAACAAACCCCAAACACAGGGAATAAAAAGCACAACATACATCTTTTTCCGACCGATGCGGAAACATTGATGACTGGCTATAATACATATTCTCATCATGGTAGTCACTTTCGACTCCTTCTACAAACTTCTTTCTTGAAGCACCAAACATGCTGTATGTCACCTGAAAAATGACACATTACAATGTTAATCCTTTGTGATTAAATAACAAACACAAAACATTTAAAAAAGTGTAAATTGACAGCGCTATACAAGTACCTATAATAATCATAATAGTAAAAAAGTAATAAAACAATTCAGGGTGCCAAAAGGAAGCACATGAGGATTTTACTAAGAATGAAATAAGTATTCTATAGAACAGTGTTTCTCAACAGTCTCAAGGCACCCCATTCTAAAATGTAAGAAAAACTATTCCAATAGTTTTATATAGCGCAGCAACATCCACACAAGTAGGACACCCAACATTAGAGGTGATTTATTCTTCCAATGCAAATACACTTTTGCACACTGATACTGAATAGTATTCCAATGTTTCTCTTCTCCCTCAGTTTTTCTTTATCCCTGAGCTAATATGACCTCAACACTGACTGAGGGGCAGGGAGGGACAAACTAGGATTCTGTGCAGGTGACCGAATAACTGATGTCGTCATTGGTTGTTAGCATGCTGGCGGCTAGAAGGTTGTAATGGTGCATAATAATAGCCTGCGGCTTTGTGCAACTAAAAAACAGGCTTGATCCACTTGCTGGCTTATATACAGTTTTTGGACAATTTTTAGGCATTTTGCCAAGGCACCCTGGTTGAAAAAGGCTGATATAGAACATGCATTCTGATGGAAACCAACAGTAACTCTATCCTCACTTGTAAGAGAGGTAACATATAAAAAAAAAAAAGTAAACAAAAAGGTAAACATGTTAACCATAAGAGCGTATCACAACCCAAAAATAATACATTGCAGCTTACAAGGCCTTTAAGTGGTTCTACAGCCCTAAGGTTTTGCATCTTAATGCATTAAGGTGAAAAACCTTCTGTGCTGCAGCTTCCCCACCCCACAGCGCCCCCCCCCCCCCTTTTCTTACTTGAACCCAATCTGATCCAGTGATATGCATGACAGCAGAGCCTCTATCTGCTGTCTCTATCCTCATTGGGCAGATGGAAAGCAGCAGGAACCATTGGCTCCCACTACGGTCAATCAAATGGGAGCTGGGGGTGGGGCCGAGCCACCCGCTTTGTGTCAATGGACGCAGACAGGGCCGCGTCGGGAAAGAGCCCGCACAGGTGCCCCATGGAAAGCAGCTGTGGGGGCACCCGCCGAGGAGGAGGGGCTAGGAGCGCTGGCAGGGAACCCTAGAAGAGGAGAATCAGGAATGTTCTGTGAAAAAGCATTGCACAAAGCAGGTAAGTGTAAATTGCTTGTTATTTTAATGCAAGGAAAAAAAGAAAAAAAAAAAAAAAAAAAAAAGTAGTGTTTAACATCACTTTCAGTGCGGTGAGTGCATCTACCCCCCACCCCCCCTTATTCTGCCAATAACGCAGTTTCTGTCCTTGCAGGTTAACTCTACCTAGGACAGAACTACAGAAACACCCCCCTATCCTTCGTTCATTAAAGTAATGGGTTTTGTAGGCCGCAAAAGGTAGCTGGGAATAAATGTAAGACTGAAGCACAGGTTTTTACGCAACAAGATTTGTGACAAGATCAACAGGTGATTTCCTGCACATATTGAACAGATACAAGAAAACTATTTTAATGGCATTTATAACAAACCAAAAAGGTACCAAACATGTTCAGTTTCAAAGTTTACATACCCTTTAATAAATCTTCTCAGGCCCCTGTGAGTAGTGAAATTAAAGCCCCAATGTGGAATAAAACCAATTTTTGAGCATTCCTCCCTTCCGCAATCTCAAAAACTACACTGTATTGCATTTTTTTCCTCCTTATCTTGTGAAGCAAAAAAATATACTCACCTAATTCCCCTCTCCAGGTCCCTAACCATCACTGGTTCCTGCTGGAAGGAATCACTTATGCAGAGCTGCAATGCCAAGACTTGATAAGCTAACATACGTTCGCCATTTCACAAGCGCTGGCAATTTTGATCATACAGTGCCTTGAAAAAAGTATTCATACTCCCTGAAGAAGTTTTCCACATTTTTTCTTGTTGCAAACAAAAACATAAAAATGTATTTTATTGGTATTTTATGTGACAGACCAACACAAAGTGCAATATAATTGTGAAGTGGAAGGAAAATTATAAAATAGTTTTCAACATTTTTTACAAAATATGTGAAAAGTGTGGTGTGCATTTGTATTCAGTCAATACTTTTTAGAACCACCTTTCGCTGCAATTACAGCTGCAAGGTCTTTTTCGGTATGTCTCTACCAGCTTTGCACATCTGGAGTGTGAAATTTCTGCCCATTCTTCTTTGCAAAATAGCTCAAGCTCTGTCAGATTGGATGTAGAGCGTCTGTGAACACGAATTTTGCAAGTCTTGCCAGATTCTCAATTGGATTTAGGTCTGGACTTTGACTGGGCCAGTCTAACACATCAATATGTTTTGATCTAAACCTTTCCATTGTAGCTCTGGCTGTATGTTTAGGGTCGTTGTCCTGCTGGATGGTGAACTTCCTGCCCAGTCTCAAGTCTTTTGCAGACTAACAGGTTTTCTTCTAAGATTGCCCTGTATTTGGTTCCATCCATCTTCCCATGAACACTGACCAGGTTCTCTGTCCCTGCTTCAAAAACAATCCCCACAACATTATGCTGCCACCACGTTTCACGGTGGGGATGGTGTGTTCAGGGTGATGTGTTGGTTTTCTGCCACATGTAGCGTTTTGCTTTTAGGCCAAAAAGTTTAATTTTGGACTCATCTGACCAGAGTGCCTTATTCCACATTTGCCGTGTTCCCCACATGGCTTCTCACGGCTTTCTTTCAACAATTACTTTCTTCTTGCCACTCGTGGCTGCTTCTCTGATTAATGCTGTTTAGGTGGATGGCCATGTCTTGGTAGGTTTGCAGTTGTGCCAGACTCTCTCCATTTTCAGATCATGGATTGAACAGTGCTCCATGAGATGTTAAAAGCTTACAATATTTTTTTTTATAACCTAATCCCGCTTTAAAACTTCTCCACAACTTTATCCCTGACCCGTTTGGTGTGTTTCTTGGCCTTTATGATGCTATTTGTTCACTAATGTTCCCCAACAAACCTCTGAGGGCTTCACAGAACAGCTGTATTTATACTGAGATTGCATTACACACAGGTGGACACTATTTTCTAAATTAGGTGACTTCTGAAGGCAATTGGTTCCCCTAGATTTTAGTTAGGGTTATTAGAGTAAAGAATACAAACGCACGGCACACTTTTCAGATATTTGTACACTATTTTGAAAACCATTTATCATTTTCCTTCCACTTCACGATTATGTGCCACTTTGTGTTGGTCTATCACATAAAATCCCAATAAAATACATTTACGTTTTCGGTTGTAACATGACAAAAATGTGGAAAATTTCAAGAGGTATGAAAACTTTTTCAAGGCACAGTAGATATATCTGCTACTCATTAACTGAAACGCATTCTTTTTATTTTTCAAGATTATATAGTGTTTGTATGCACCTAGAAAAATGCACTTTTTAAAGAAATTATAGATTTCATGAATCCCAACTAAAGCACTACCTGCCTGGAGTTTGCATGTTTTTCCTGTGCCTGCCTTCTTGTACTCCAGTTTCCTTGCACACTCCAAAGACATGCTGGTAGGTTAATTGGCTCCTGTGTAAATTGGCCCTAGCATCTGTATGCATAAATGTGAGTTAGGGACTGATGTGAATGTACAATGTATGCAAAGTGGTGCAAAAATGGATGGCGCTATACAAGTACCTGTAATTAAATAAATACCAAGGTGAACAGGACTGAATTTCTCTTTTCCTGCACAAAATTGTTTATGTAAATCAATAAACCCTTTATATTCCATGGATCATAAATATTCATGTGTTAAGTTATTCCATCTCTGAAATGGCTTCAAACTCTTCAAAGCACACCTTGGAGAACCTTAGTATTTTAGTAGAAATCCTAGTTGAATGACACTTCCTAAACAACTGCAATGATTTTTTTTTTAGCATTTTTATGGTTCTCACCATATCAAGGCTGCTCCTCTAGCCTTTTCAGCCATTTTTTATTTTATGCAGTATATCACTGCTCTGGACTGCCTGTTCTGATGCTGGCAAAATAGTACCATTCCTGTGCAATGCATTCCAGCATGGCCTTAGCAGGATATAGACTTCACCAGGGATGCATGCATCAGGGAAGCAATGCAGGAGCAAAATTAGAAGACAGCTGTCATCGCATAAAAGGAAGTACTGAAAAAAAAAAAACCTTCATGGCAGGATCTCCAGGTACTATTTAAATGATATATAAAGAAAGCTGCAGAATTAAAGGAGTGAAAGCAGATTTTGAAAATTACATCAACACATTAAAAGGCTTTGAGATTTCTAGAGATGGTGTTTAAAGAAGATCTAAACACGAGCTCAAAAGGTAGCGGTATTGAGTGATCCATAATCTTTGTAGCTATTCCATGCACAATTACACAGAAAAAAAAAAAAAAAATACACAGCAATGTTTTAAAGATCGATTGCAATATGTTCAAAGCTAAAGCAATAGCAAACTCTTACAATTTGTAACTACAGGTAAGCTTATAGTAAATCCTAACTGTAGTTATGGTGAATATCTCCTACACTTGTGCTGTTCAGGAGACAGTCACATCAGCTCCAATTGAGGTTACTGCGCATGCGCAGTTATGTTCTGCATTCAGGGTACATGCAGTGTGCCATGAATGCAGAACGCCATGCCACGATAAGGACTCCCGTACATGGAAGTGATGTCATCGTGGCCTGGCCATTCAAACGGCTGGAGAGTAAACCCAGAAGGAAGATTGTGTGAAGATGTGAGTGCCCGCAGAAGTGTGTCAGTGCAGCACTAGAGGGCTCTGTTTTAAAAGGCAAATCTGCAATAATGTGCTAGTATGCTGTGCATACTAACTAACATATTATGGTATGACACTGCCAGGGTTTATTTTATATATATATATATATATATATATATATATATATATATATATATATATATATATATATATATAGTGTTTAGAGTTTACTATGCTT